CCTCTTTTATATCTCTGAAATCAGAAGTCTCTGACGGGACCAAACCTCCACCTCATCAAACGTGTCTGTACGAGTTCATGTCTCTAAATATTTACAGTAATAATCATTTGAAAGTATGACATCATTCCCAATTTATACTTGAAGAAAATCATTTTACCATTTTGAAATGATGTTTTATATTTTAATCATCAATGTCATTATTCATCAAAATACACAATTTATGTGCAAATCCTGTTAATTTCTATATTGAATTTATTTGTATTTAGATACATATTTTAATAAATGATGGAGAAAGAATTGATACCATTTTAAATTTAACATTATATATATTAAACATCAAATGCACACACATACATATATCTACATGTGTATAGTATCACGGTTATGATCTACTGTTTATATTTCTGCTTCAGCCTTTGGCAACAGTTAACTTAAGGTTAAAGTCTTTCACTTTGAAATCCTGAAAAGGAACATTTATAGCACAATGTTTATGAATTGTCATTATGAACACAAGTTTAGAAGTTCATCCATTTTGTTTTTGGTCTGCTTCTCTGACTCTCCTTTTTCTCGGACAGAGTCTTTAAATTCGCTCTAATAAACTTCAAGAATTGTGCTTGGTCAGACGGAAGCTTACAACTGAGGGTGATTGTGACCCTGAACCAAGGTCGAGATCACAGGAATTGGAATTGTAGAACACCTGTCCCAGCCAGGAAGGAAGCTTGTAATGAGAGGGTGAGTGAAGAAGACTCTGACCAAACCTCATCTGGAACAAGATCAATATTATTGTAAAAAGATGGAATTAATTTATATATGGTTAGTAATACTGTAAATGGGAAAAATAGAAGAAGAAAAAAACTGTTGTTGACTTGAAAATATATAGATATATGAATATAAATAAGGACCACGAATCAAGATCATTTGAAATCACAGAAAATATATGGTGCAAGAGTCGTTCATCTCACAGACAAATCTTCTTAAATCTGTATTTTTCGAATCATAACAAATGCACCGTTTTTATACCGTGGTAATTTTGACTTTAATCATGTCACTGATTTTTTTTTCTCACAAATTTCTCCACGTTCTTTAGTTTCTGCGCATCCGTATCTATTAATGTACATGTAAATCGAAACAAAAATTTTATATTTTTTCACAACCTGAGATGGATAAAAGCTGAAGAATACAGATGCAAATATTTCTGAAGCATTGCTAAAACTTTGTCTTCACGGTTACGTAAACCTAAAATTTGAAATATCACTAGCAGAGTAAATGTACATGTCCCTCGGTTTACTGAAGGTTAAAGGCCGGAAAACTTGACACCTCTCGACCACACAATAATTCGCCTATTACGCCACATCTCTTTACATGTGGGTTTCGTCTTTCTGTGAACCTAAGCATATTTTGTAACATTTGCTCATGATGATAAATAAAATTGCTTCTTATCAAAAATAAGATATACGTCTTATTATCGGCCGCAACAGCGGCCGATCTACTTGTGGTTGTGTTAGAATGTGCACATGAGGAAATGAGACGTTATTATTTTTTATTGCTTCGTTGGAATAATTCCTTATTGCATTATAAAAAACATAAAAGTTACGAATAAAAGCCTTAAAAATTTGCTTAAAACTAAGTCTATATATTTGTCATGATGTTTCGCTTTTTCGCTTTGTTTTTCATTTCTCGTCAAATATTTATTAATTTAACGATTTTACAAAAAAGTTATTTCATGAACTGTTCCCTAACATGGGCTTGCCTTAGATAAAAAAGAAAACGTATTGAGCTTCCGGATATGAATTACAGTGCCTAAAATAATTAATAAATTGGAATAATAACTGAATTTTGTTTGAATTTACACTGCAATTGCAAGTGACACAATGAATATTTTTTCTGCACTTCACATATATTTATCACAATACTGATCGGCATTATAAAGTGACAAAAATCCAGGGTATCAGCACGTGAAGCTTGTGTCATTCAGATATTCATAATCAATTATTTTAAATATTTGTTGCATTTGTCCTTGAATCAAATAATTTGATGATAATTCATTCCTATCCTTTATTGCAGTCCGATGTTCTATTTGCATAAATATTCAACAATTGACCACTGAAAACTCGTGTAAAAAAATGCACACTTCTAAAGTAAATTAGCAAGTGTAAAAATGTATCATATACTTTTTCTATTTGTTTTTTTTTCTTTGGACTTTTTCTTGTGGAAATTCTTTAAAATGAAATATATTTTTGAGGCCTATTTGATGCTTTGCATCACTTGTGTATTATTATTATTATTATTATTTTTTTTTTTTTGAATTTGATAAACAGGAGATAATTATTTTGTAAACCATCAACATGTTTTAAGATTCAATGTCGTATTTTTTTTCAACATGAACATTTTGTCTTCTGTATTTAAAATAGGTACTTTAGCAAAATAAAAACAGTATATATTTTCTCATTCATAATCTCTACAGAGGAAAAACAACACTGTAATGAATTAATCCACTTGAAAAAGATCGTAATCGTTTTATCTTATCTAATGCATAAAAGGGACTTTCTTTGTTGGTTACAAATTCTCGGTTCTTGGGGGGAAATTTTAGAGTTATAGAAACAAAAGTCCCAATTGCAGATTTTTTTTTAAAATATCATCAAAGTAAAATTAATAATAAACAGACCAAAGAAATACTTGTATTTTTTTTTTTAATGTTAAATCTATCTTAATTTGTGTCATATTTGTTCATTAAAATTTATACGTACATTTATCCTTAAAAACATGTTGATCCTTTCATAAATTTTTTCCGTATTTAAATTCAATACGAAATAGGTCATAAACCAGTTAATTCTTGTAGTGGTTTTTTTTAGTTTTTTGTTTGTTTGTTTTTGTTTTGTTTTGTTTTGTTTTGTTTTGTTTGTTTGTTTGTTTGTTGGTTTTTTTTTGGTTTTGTTTTGTTTTGTTTTGTTTTTTTTTTTTGCCATTTACACGTATTAGTTTTGGTTCTTTTTGTAGAGGAATTAAGCTTCTAGGACCCTCCCCCCTCCCCCTTCCACGTAGAGGGTCGGTTAAATTCGCTCAAGCCTTGCTATCAAACTGCATCTGTCATGTAAGTAACAGAAGTGAATTTATAATGAATATCTAGATTCAGGGCAACGATGCATAAAATGCTCATTCTTTTACGTCCATGTTATAAAATCTAATTTAACTCGTGTTTTATACATACATACATATATACATACATACACATATATATTTTAATTTTGAAATTGTTTTCTTGAGATACGAGTATTTCCAATTTACCTTCTAAAAAGAAAGGGGATTTTTCGTCGTTTCAATCCGTCATGCATAACCTGTTTATTCAAGTAGCTCTGTTTTAAAATTTATTATGTCAGGGAGTTTATTATGATTTAAAACACACTTTACCACATTTATAGAATCAAACAAATTCGTATTCGTGATACATGCATTACGTGGGGAGATTTTGTAAAAATAGAGAATAAGTGGGTGTCCGTTCACCTCTAATCATCTATACTGTTACATTTTCCCCCAAATTCTACTTGCAGTAAAATTTAGTTTAACTCTGTAAGCATAGAGAAAATCACGGGTGTTAGTCCCTCTCCTTCCCAAAACGGTTTAACAAATAAATTATTTACAACAATATTTTAGATTTAAATAAGTTGCATTGGCTAAGCAATTTGAGAAAGTCGAATATTTTACATGGACTAGTTATTAAACGGAGGAAAAATTGTCATCACATATAGTTATAATATAATTTGTTTTGTTTTTTAATTCATTTATTATAAAAAATAGAGTAATAAAGTGAATGACTGTACACCTCTAATCAATTACTGCTTGAGTTTCTACATCTATTCATATTTGGTACCTCCCCCCCCCCCCCTCAATTCTATTCTCAATGAAATAAAGTAAAAATCTTGCAGCATAGGAACCATAACCAAATGGTTTCTCTCTTCTTTTCACATTGAGCAAATCACGTATGATCGTACTGGGAATTTAGACACCCCCTCCCCAAATACAAACGGTTTTCTTTTCCTAAAATAATTTAAATCTTTTGCTACAATATTTTAAATATTGACGTTCTTCGTTTGTGAAATTAGAATATTTTACATAGGTCTAGTTCGTAATCTAAAGGAAAATTGTCTTCATAGACTGAGGATTGTAATAATTTCTCTTAATTTTCATTTTTTTCTTAATGGGAAGAGAACAAAATAAATTGCACATGCAAAAACAATGATTTGCGAAAAAACTTTTTTTTTGTAACATAGCTTCAAAATACACAAAATATGTCAATGAAAAAGAAAAGATCTTAGATGCTAAATGTTCCCGATTAGCAAATAACGCTCAACACATAAAATAAATGTATATTAATTAATTACACAATATTCATTTCAATAATGAAGTGGTAATTGACAAGTCTGAATTATTTCATTTAAATATTCAGAGCAGATACGAATCCTGGTGATTCCCGCGTGCCTCAACATCGTGCATTATTCTATACGCATTTAGACTGAGATTTTTATTTTTACATAATTTCGTTTACGATTGAGTCAAAAATTAGATTAAATGAGAGTAAAATAATAGCAGACATTTAATTGGACACGTACAAAACGGAACCTCTGGTGAAAATGGGGTCAAAATATTTATATATATGTGACTGCATCATCATGAAAAATATTCATTTGTCCATTTCAGCGGAATCCTGTTTTCATTTTTATATATAAAAAAAGTAACGATTAGTGGATTATTTAAGTAGTCAGAATAAATAAAAGTACCATTTCAAGGAAACATCTTCGGCCAATAGAGACCTTGAGAGCATGTATCAATTTTGATCTTTCTGGCCATGTGAAGGAATGTATCTTATAGTGCTGCAGATACAATACATTGACAAGTAGATTGTCCGGAAATGTCCGCTCTTGTGTGATAAGAGGACATGTTGAAGTTTTCCGGTCAACTCACGTGGTTACATACCATCATTTAAAATCAATCATAAGTAATAATTATCCCATTCTTCACGTTCCTATGCTGGGCAACACTATAGAAAATAAATGTCGGCTGTTGTACCGTCTTCTCCTGATCCAAGACTCGTCCAGTCACTTCTGGAGGACTCGTGCTTATCTGGAGGAGGAGGAGCCAATTGTAACGTGAATTACAGTATTGTCAAGACCGAAATGATGGCATCCGAAGAAAATCCGACTTCACATTACGATAACTCTAGCCCCTGTTACACCCTTCTACAGCCCATGCAGCGGAACCCAAGTCCTGTTTTGATGGCTGGAGTCTCAGACGATCAGATTCCAAGACACTTCGAAAGGTCGCCACCACCTCTAGTGTACGACGATCCAATGCAAAAATGCTTTCAGAACTCCCCAAGAGGACCAGGGCTTAAAATTGAAACACATTTTGAAGATATTTCTCCTACTGTACCGCCACCACACGCGGGGTACATGTCGCAGTCCGGACATCAACCAGACAATTTTGAGGAATCTGTTTTGCGGGCACTCCAGGAGGAGATCGACCACATTTGCCAGATTCTTGAAATTTGTCCAGGTACACAACATATATTAATTGATTGAAAACTAGAGTGTAATCATTTTGAATTATACACACATATTTTTATGTATCAATTATTACAATACCATTTCTTAAAAAATAAATTAAAATCTCATATGTTACCTTTTCACATGTAGTATTTTTAAAACAAATATTTATCTTTGTATGTATGTTTGTTTTTGCTTTTTGTTTTGTTTTTCGTTTTTTTTTTTTTTTTTTTAAGAAAAAAAATATTTTCTGTATCTTAACATTAAAATTTAATTTTGAAGATCCCACTAAATGGACAAATCAAGAGGTGAACAAATGGATCGTATGGTACGGGGATCAGTTTGGTGCCCCTCAGGGGATTACTGACAGATTCCGTATGAGTGGGGAGGAGCTCTGCCGCCTCACTCTGGAGGACTTTAAACACAGATCTAAGGATGCAGGAGCTAACTTTCATGCTCAGCTGGATGTTTGGAAAAATGGTAAGTTAAAGTTTTATTTACTTTCAATTTAATTGATCTGTAAAAATAAAAATAAAAATAATGTCAAAACTTCGTCCAAATGTGCTTTAGAAAATAAAAAAAAAAATATTGTGATTGATACATCATTAAATTTCCGTTTTATTTATTTATTTATTTATTTATTTATTTATTTTTTTGATACATGTGTAGTAATTAAATTGTTATAATTCTCAAAGCTATTTAAGAAAAAATAAAACAGAGTTTTCCGTGGTAATTAAAGTACACATGTATAAAAACAAAATAAAGAATTAAGTATGTAATAAAAAAGTAAAAAAAAAAAAAGAAAAAAAAGAAGAATCTATATTATAAACGTTTAATTAAATGAGTACCCATCGTCAAAAATTGGTAATATAATAATAAAGAATGAATTATGTCAAAATGTATTATAAACATGAAGAGAAACAGAAGTATTTAAAAAAAAGAGTCTTTTTAACATTTATGTTCCATCATTATATACATGTACATTATTTTCTTATTTTAGCTTGTAAATTATCCTCGAGAAGAGAGCAAATGCCCGTGGCACCGTCGGCCCATTACTATAACTACAGACAAAACAGTGTATCGTCCCCGACGATTAGCGAATGTAGCGAGGCTTCGGGGGCCGTGATGAGGAGGGACGATTACATATTCCATCAATCCTCCTCGACTGAGTATCCCACATCCTCCAACGCCATGCAGCAGCCGGTGGGGTATCATCCTGACTACCCATCTCAAAACGAGGCAATGTCGTCATACTCCGATTACTACAGTTATACGGATTATAACTACTATGACAGTCACCCAGATACATCTTACACACAAACTGGTAAGTTACATGACCATTTATACCATCATTTTGTGAGTTTTCAACTGATAGATAAAAAGCAAGCTTCGTCATACCATGGATTTTTTGTCTCAAAGGAAAAAAAATACACTTTTGCAACAACAAAGTTTTCAGGCTCTATTTAAATGTTTCCATTAATAAGTCACACACCAAATTGTCGAAGCAGATGTAGTGTAAGTAATCCATTTGATTTACAGACGTTTTTGTATTTCAGATGATCTCCCAGGCTACCCTGTAGAATACCAACAGAAGCAGACGATACATCTTTGGCGCTTCCTGAAGGAACTTCTGCTTCAGCCAGAGAGATATGATAGGTACATCCGATGGGTCAATCGTCAAGAAGGGATCTTCAAAATCGAGGACTCCCCAAAAGTAGCCAAACTCTGGGGTAAGAGAAAAAATCGACCAGCAATGAACTACGACAAATTAAGTCGCTCAATACGACAATATTACCGTAAAGGCATCATCAAGAAAACCGCCAACTCCAAACGCCTCGTCTACCAATTCTGTCCAGCCTATCTGTGATTTATAAACTGTGTATTCTATAAATAGTATTGCATTTGTGGTTGTGATACGATTCAAGCACTGTGATATTAAATCTAAAATGCCTGTTTTGACCATAAGAAGTCTTTTCACAACATATCAAAACCACGGAGAAGGACCAATGCGCTGCTTTTCGTGGTGTAAAAAAGAGGTTTCATATAAACTGTACCATCAATTCGAGTAAATAAGTTAAAAATATGAATTTTATTATTTAAAATACCCGTGATTCTTATTATCAATAGACAAAGTATTTTATGAAAGATAGATATCTTTATCTGGATGTTTCTTTAGACATCTCTTGATGCTAGAAGTTATGTACAAGATGAATGGTTTATTTGATCTCGGTATTAACTCAACTGGTATCCTACTTTTTGATAACAACAGAATTATTATATGTGTATTCTATTTCAATATGTGTAAATATTTGTACTGATCTCATTGTTGTTTTCTTGTTATATATGAATAATAAAACGTAAAGTAAAATTTTATCAAATACAATAAAACATAGTTGTTATCATGATATAGCAATCGTTCCTGCTATATATTCTGAGAAATTCAATCACAGAAATAGAATTCACGGATGTATACTAGTACTCGAAGTTATTTGTTTTGTATTTCTGACGTATTTAAAGTCGACAATGTAGATGATGTATGTTAAAAAATGACTAAAATCTCATGAAACTTCTCATTAATTCAGGTGGACACGTTACATAAAGATAATGCTTTATATAATCATTGTTGCAACCACTATGAAATAATTATTTCATTAGTGATTGAGAGTGCATTTCAAAACCAAACACTGTTTGTACATTGTAACCACTACTGAAATAATTATTTCAATAGTGGTCTTTATTTCAGTAGTGGTTGCAACAAAGCATGTTGGTAGAAAGAGGTTTCATGAATATTTTCGAAACACGCGTTAGCGCTTCATGATAAATATGCCGGCGTGAAGCGTTATAGTTCATGTACCTCATGAATTTTCAAAAATTAAATTCATTTCTTATATTTACATTATTTTTCTGATGAGTTTCCACAAGTTACGAGATTCAACTGTCATTTTTGAAGCAAAACAGTTTGCACTATAGTTTTAACGTCAAGTACAGTATTATGAAGTAATAATGGAGATATTCATGCTCATCTCATGGTAGTTCATGAGAAAATGAACAATCTTCTAATTTGCAAAGAATCTTAAGGAAAAATACCTGGAAATGTAAATATTAACAAATAATCTACATTATGAAAGTTATCATTATTCTGGCTTTCATCAAATATATTCAAGAGGAACAATGATCTTCTTTTCGAGAGATATTTTTGTTGTCGAAAGATGAAAAATCTTCTTCTCTACTCTTTGGTATTCTTTAAATACATAGTTATGATAAGCAAGGATGCCCCTTCCAAAATTGGGAAATTCATGGCCCAAGGATCAGGGGTTCTGGTGTTAGGGTTGGGCTATATAGATCCTATAGTGAAGGTGAATTATTTCTTTGAAAATCTTCTTCTCTGCCCCTGGGTATTATTTAAACAAATTAAGTACATTGTTACGATATGCAAGGATGCCTCTTCCAAAATTGTGAATTTCATGGCCCCAGGATCAAGGGTTCTTGTGAAAAGGGGGGTGGGGCTTTATTGATTATATAGTGAAAAAGCAAAATTTCTTTAAAAATATTCTTTTCAGCTCCTGGTTAAAAAGCAAAGAAGCTAAGTGTATAGTTATGATGAGCAAGAGTGCTTCTTTCAGAGTAGTGAATTGCATGATCCCTGGGTCAGATGTGCTGGTGTAAGGGTGGGGCTCTGGATAATATAGTGAAAATGCATTAATTCTACTAAATAATCCTGTCTGCTCTTATTGTTAAGCAGATAAACAAAGTGATTACTTATGATGAGCAAACTTCTGGTCCTAGGGTGAGAGGCTCTGGTGTTTCTTGCTGGGGAGGGGGGGGGGGGCTCTATTGATAATATAGTGAATCTGTAATAAAAATGCATTATTTCTTTAAAAATCTTCTCTGCATCTGGGCACATCAGAGGCAAAAAGAGTAAAAGTTTTAATAAGGAAGAGTATTTTTGCATTGAGAACCCTATTGTTAATAATATTTAATATTTTTGTCTGTACATGTGAGGATCTAGAGGGGGTCGGAAGTGGGGGTTCCTGACCCCCCCCCCCCCCGGATTTTGTTGCAGTGTGTTAAATGTACATAGTAAAGTAACTAAAAATGACCTTAAACCCCCTAGAAAACACGGACCCCTCTTAAGCTGGCAGAAAGAGTCATACGGCTCAACACAACACCACCCCAACCCCACCTCTTTTCACCCTTGGGAAGGAAGTTTACTTTTTTTTAAATGCTTGTCAACAAATTTCTGGGTTGGAAATTTTTTTAATAGGGGTGGGACACCACCACTCCCAGGGAAAAAATTCCTGGATCCACGTTTGTAGAATAATACAACTTTCGAGCAGAAGTGTTACGTGTGTGTATGTTTGTTCCTGTGATCACTTTTGAGATGAAAAGTCAGAGCAGGGATTATTATATTATTAGGTATATTTTACATTATAATGGTGACGCATTGTTCACAGTTTGTATTGTTTGTAGGGTTTTTTGGTCCCCGCTTTCGCGAAACCAAGGGGACATTAAATCTCATTCGTCTGTCAGTCTGTTGGTCTGTCAGCCTGTCTGTCACAAAAACTTTAACCTTGGTCATAACTTTTGAATGAGAAAGGACAAGACTTTCATATTTCACATGTACATTACCTGTGACAAGTCCTTTCCGAATATACTATAATTTTTGACCCCATGATCTTGACCTTGAAGTTTGACCTAATTAAAAAAAAGAACATTACTTTGCCTTGGTCATAACTTTTGATTGAGACGAAATAGGGCTTTCATATTCCACCTGTACATTACTTGTGACAAGACCTTTCCAAATATATTTTTGACCCCGTAACCTTGACCTTGAAGTTTGAACGTTTGAACTAATTTTAAAAAATTTTAATGTTGCTTATGAATTTTAAATGAAAATAGCATTCATATTTGACATATGCATTTCCTATGACAAGATGTTTCTAAACAAGCTATGATTTTTTGACCCGTGACCTTAAGGTATGTCCTAATTTTCAAAAATTTTATCATTGATGATTACATTTGAATGACAGAAGATAGGGCATTCATATTTGACAAGTTGATTGCCTGTGACAAGAAGCTTTGGAATAAGCTATAATATTTGACCCCATGACCTTGAACTTCAAGTTTGACCTAATTTTTAAAAAGTTTAACATTTTTCATAACATTTGAATGACAGAAGGTCATTGATATTTGACAAGTGCATTACCTTAGACAAAAACTTTTGGAATGTGCTATTATATTTGACCCCGTGACCTTGACCTTCAATTTTGACCTATTTTTAAAAAATATCATTGTTTGTAACTTTTTAACGAAAGAAAGGACAGATATATTTGACATGCACGTTACGTGTGACAAGACTTTTCGCGATGTACTATGATTTTTAACCCCATGACCTTGGCCTTGAAGTTTGACCTAATTTTCAGATATCTTAACATTACTGATAACTTTTGAATGAGAGAAGATTGGGTATATATATTTGGCATGTGCGAAACCTGTTTCAAGACCTTTCCGAACGTACTCTGGTTTTTGACCTCGTGACCTATAGTCTTTCTTCGTATTTTTTTATATTGGTAATAACTATTAAATGACAGAAGATAGAGCTTCCATATTTTACATGTACATTACCTATGACAACAATTTTAAGAAAGGTATATAATTTTTGACTTCATGATATTGATCTAGAAGTTTGAAGGACACACAAACAAGACAGTTACAATATGCCATAAGTAATTGCATCCCAAAAGCTTAAGACACCGAAAGCGGGGGACCACAATTCTTTGAATTTGCTTGGTTTGTTTGTTTGTTTGTTTGTTTGTTTTAGATCGATCGCTGTTTGTTATCCTCACTTTTACACTCCATATAAAATGCAAAGATAACCATTTATCACAATTTGCGTCATGTATATTTTTACATTTATCATGCAATGAAAAGCAGACATTTAAAGAGAAATGGACAATTTTTATGCCTTCACTTTCTAAAGAAAGTACGAGTAAATTATTGTTATCCTGGTCCGTCCGGCTGTCAAACTATCGTCTTCCTCAATTTACTCTCACATTTTAAGCAGTATCCAACCAATCTTTTGGAATAAGATGGGTGGTGCCTTGAACATGTGCAAAAAGATTTTTGAAATTTTCATTTTCATCCTGGGGGCGACTGGGGGAAAAACATTGTATTTTTTCTACAAAAACCTAGTTCCTTAGCTGAACTCTTACATTTTTTGCAGTAGCCATATCATATGACAGGTAGTGTCCTGTATATGTGCAATAACAGTGGCGGATTTAAGAGGGCGCAACCAGCGCGCCCACCCCCTAAAACTGTCAAAGTTAACGTAAATCACGAGAAAATGTAAAAAATGTGATTTGGAGATAGAAAAAGACGTTTTTCTACAAAACTGCTCCCTTGAACTCCTCTGTACCTTTTACAATTTTCAGTAAGCAAACCATCTTTTGGATGGTAATTGGTGGTGTCCTGTAGAAGTGCAATAAGGTTTCAGAATTCCGATTTTCACTGTTAGGGCCAAATGGGGATAAAAAAACGTGGGTTTTTTTGTTTTGTTTAATCCTTGGAGTGTCCTGTAGATGTGCATTGAGGTTTTGGCATTTCGATTTTTACCCTGGAGGCGATTGGGGTCGATAAAGGACTTTTTTAAATTATAGAATTATTGTGGCTTCTTCCCTTGTTACTCAAATATGAAATTGAGTACATTTAAAGGCAAACACCTACATGTGGGCATTACTGTCTTATGACAGCATCTAGTTAAATTTATTTTTGCATATACATTGTATCTTCAAATTCCCCTCCCAATCAAATATCTTCTTTTGATGGCTTAGCAACGATAAGGTCAGCCTGATACATTGCATATCAGAGTTCTTTTCAAAAAGCAAATTGAAAATATCTCATTTGTTGTCACACTTTATAATCTGCTCCAAAACACAAAATCAAGGTACGCAACACCAGAACAGAAATCTACTGGAAGCCATATGTCTAGTTTGTCTACACCATGCGACATCAGTAATTTTTTTTTTCATGCGAGATCAGTAATTTTTCTCTTTTAATATCTAGTCGTGCGAATTCAAATCCAAAGCTTGCATTTGGATATAATATCCACCTGCATTTGGACATAATATCCATGTTTTTTCAGTATTTTTACAAGCATACATGTACTCATGGAACAGATGCATGATGTATCTTGTGTAATCATTGGGCTATGTCTGCTCTCTAGAAATCTCTGCACTTTACCTTCACCTATAGCTGTGTATAACGTAACACGCTTTTACCTACAGCAGGACGTCCGTGATTGAAGCGGACCTTTGGCATGTTTGCGGGAAACGGCGGAATCAATATTAATGATACTCAACAAGCAGAAGAGTTCGTTGTAGTGCGGAAAAGTAGTTCACATGTTCACATCTCGACAGGGGGTTACAGCCTGTGTCAAACGATTCGTTTCTTAAGCTGTCTCGTCTGTCACTTTTTTTTTTTTATTTACAATTCATTGTTAATTCAGCTTCTAACTCGATGGGTAATTTCCAACAAGTCATTAATAGAAAGAAGGGGTTTCCAGCGAGAGAGAAAAAGAGAGAGGGAATGAAAATATTTTCATTGGAACTTGCTAGTGTTCTGAATTGGCAATATATTTTCTCAGCATAACTGTAGTAGTTCTTTTAATAGTATTCTTTACAAAATGTATGAAACAGCACCATACTGATAGGGCCACTATCCTCGACCTAGTGCCACTAGGTCGAGGGGGGAAAAGCGATAGGACAGGAACATGAGGGCAAGTATGTAACATTAGCACCACCCTTGCACAATGCTTAATCCCTCGTACCAAGATATAATGCTAATAGTATTACATGTAATTTGCAATCACATTTCATGTGGTCTAAATGCGAAGCGAAATATTCGCGCACACAACTTTCCATTAGTCTTTGATAGCCTTAACAGTTTCATACTTAGGTGTTTCAAGCTTAAGAGCGTTTGTCATTCTAACGAGTTAAAGTAGACGTACATGTACATATTTTTAACATCATGCAACAACAATTATAATCACTTTGACTTGAGATAACTGTCTGTGAAGCTCATATCCTACTTCCACATAATAATTAATGGCCCGTAAATAAATAGTTCAGCTAATTTACTATTTATTTGGTCTGCACGTGCACTACATTCATCACAAATTGCACAGAAAGACCCCCCTTTTTTTTTTACACACTTTACATGTATAGTTGACATTTAAAATTCTGATTACTTCGGTTGCATGTTTCATATATATATACAGTACACCAATGTCTTCTTACCAGAGTAAAAATGAATTGTTTTAAGTATGTGAATGCATCTATTTAATATGCTAATACTATTTTAAATATTAATGTGTATTTCATTACTCAGTACTTTATATTTCAATTCATCATTTTCATAATATCATGTTCTAATTTTTTACTTAGGTGGGTGTAAGAACAAAAAATAAGATTAACATTGTCATGTTCTAAAATTTGTATTTACACCCACCAGTTAATTCAAAAACTAGAAGAATTACAAATGAGTATACTATGAATTATAAATAGTGAAACATACTGCCCACTCTAAACATTAATGCATAGCACCCAACGTCATGAATATTGCTTCAATCTTGATTAAAAATAAACACTTCATGACTACCAAAGGGTCACTCAGATGGTTCATAATTCTTATATCTATGGTAAAAACTAAGTCTGTTTAAAACAAAAAAAATATTTTAATAATAATTCTCATCAATGTCCACCCACTTTATTGGCACATTTAACAATTACAGGAACCATAGTATATATGTGTAATATAGTCATTAAATCTATGTGGGGGTGTTCTGTCAAGCGTGGTGTGATTACCACTCACTGTGTGAGACTGTGGTTTTATTCTAAATGTAACTCTCTAATTCTGTCCTTCAATTCTAAAATCACATTTCTTATCCTCTTGTGTTATCAGTACAGGTAATCCCCCATTCTGTCTAGAATTCAGGTCTCCCCCATTGATGGGTCTCAATCTCCTCCTCCAATTCCTGCTTCTTAATCAGCTCCCAGTACAACCCCTTCTTCTTCTTGAGCTCGTCATGTGTACCTTGCTGCAATGGACACCACAAATTTTTTCAAGTACTAGTACAATCTTTTACAGTGTCAAAATTTAACTAAGACATGAATACTCATGATGCCAATTACAATAATCGAAATCAAAATTAAATATTCAATATGACTACTTTTGACCTACTTCCACAATCTGCCCATTAGATACGACTGCTATTATATCAGCATCACGGATTGTACTAAGTCTGTGTGCTATGATTAGAACTGTTCTACCTGCAACGAAAAAAAAAAGGTTATAAACTTTTAGCAAAGAAAAACATTACAAACTCAGTGATAAAAAATAGATGTGTTTTAATTTCTTTGATTACCTTTTACTACATTATCTAATGCTGCTTGAACTATCTTCTCTGATTCGGCATCCAAAGCACTGGAATTTATAAAATACACGTAAAAACAATAATTTACTCATTTCTAATCACAGGATTTTCTAAAAGAAAACAAGACATGTTTGTGAAATACTGATGCCCACGATGGCAGCCTGTAGCAAGGGCTCAAGTTTCTCAAATGCAAATCAAATTCCAAGGTCAAGAGATCAAAAATGTTGGTATCCAAAGAAAGGTCTTCTCACAAGGAATACACCTCTGAAAGATGAAAGCCCTAGAACCAACCATTCAAAGGTTGTGGCCAAGATTAAAGTTTTTCAAAATTGGTCAAACTCCAAGGTCAAAATTGTTGGTACCCAAGGGAAAGTCTAGTTAAAAGAAATACATATGTGAAATATGAAAGCCCTAGCACCAACCATTCAAAAGTTTTGGCCAAATTAAAAGTTTTTTCAAAAGTGGATCAAACTCCAAGGTCAAAAGGTCAAATTTTTTTGTACTCAAGGAAAGATCTTATCACAAGACATAAACATGTGAAGTATGAAAGCCCTAGCTAGCACCAACTGTTCAAAAGTTAAAATTTTGGTCCAACTCCAAGGTCAAAAGGTCAAATATGTTGGTACTCAGAGAAAGTTCTTGTCAAAAGAAAAACACATATGAAATATGATAGCCATAGCTCCAACCAATCATGATTTATGGGCAATGTTAAAGTTTTTGCAGACAAACAGACTGACAGACAGACAAGGCAAGAATTATATGTTCCCCGAATCTTCGATTACAGGGGGCATAATGACTCATGGTTTTAGATGTGTACAATAAATCACATAGTAAACCAGTGGGTAATCTGGAATACATGTATAAAAATTTTTTATGCCCCATTATCAAAGATTTGGGGCATATAGTTTTTGTCATGCCCATCCGTCGGTCTGTCTGTTTGCAAAAACTTTAACCTTGCCCATAATTTTTGATTGGTCAGAGCTATGCCTTTTATATTTCACATGTGTATTCCTTGTAACAAGACCTTTCTTTGGGAACCAACATATATGATTTCTTGACCTTGACCTTGAAGTTTGACCCACTTATGCAAAATTTTACCAAAGTTTCACCTTGGCCATAAATTTTGAATGGTTGGTGCTAGGGCTTTCATATTTCACAGATGTATTTCTACTGACAAGATCTTCCCTTGGATACCAACAGTTTTGGCCTTTTGTCCTTGACCTTGGAGTTTGACCTACATTTGACAAACTTTAACCTTGGCCATAACTTTTGAATGGTTGGTGCTAGGGCTTTCATATTCAATATATGTATTTCTTGTGATGAGATCTTTCCTTAGGCACCATCAATTTTGACCATTTGACTTGACCTTAACGTTTAACTTACTTTTGAAAAACTTTAACATTCACCATAATTTTTGAACAGTGGGAACTAGGGCTTTCATATTTTACAGATATATTGAATTGATATAATGAACTGCTCACAGACAAATGATAGACAACACACCATATCACAATATGTCTGTTTAAAGACAGACTTGTAAAGATTGAGATTCTAGTTGAATTATATACAAATGTATAAGTAATCATTCCACAAAGAAAAATTATGCTGCTACAATTTCTTGATCATCATTTTTTCTTGACATCTAGTAAAAAAAAAATTATTGTTTCAATAAAACATAAAATTACCTTGTGGCCTCATCAAGCACCATTATGGAGGGATTTTTGATGAGTGCCCTGGCTATGGCAATTCTCTGTTTCTGTCCCCCAGACACTGTGACCCCTCTCTCCCCGAGAACTGTACTATACCCCTCTGGAAAGGATCGAATAAAACCATCAGCATTAGCCAGGGTGGCAGCCTCTATCACCTAGATATGAATATAAACTAAACATCAATGGAATCGATATCAACAAAGTTTTAGGTTATCTGTTTCACAATGAAAAAAGTCTGTTTTCAGTGAAAAACAAGAAGTGTTTGTGAAACACTGATGCCCCCATATGGCAGCTTATAGCGAAGGTTAAACGTTCTCAAATGCAAGTCAAACTTCAGGTCAAGAGATAAAAAATTTTGGTAACAAAAGTAAGGTCTTGTCTCAAGGAATATACCTGTGAAATATGAAAGCCATAGCACCAACCATTGAAAAGATATGGAGAAGGTTAAAGTTTTACAAAAGTAAGTGAAAAATCAAGGTCAAGGTCAATCGGCCAAAATTGTTGGTATCAAAAGGAAGGTCTTGTCACAAGGAATATACATGTAAAGTATGAAAGTCCTACAATGTAACATCAACCGTTCAAAAATTATGACCAAGGTTAAGGTAAAAGTAGATCAAACTCCAAAGTCAAGGTCAAAGGGTCAATGCTTTGGTATCCAAAGAAAGGTCTTGTCACAAGGAATATACATGTAAAGTATGAAAGCCCTAGCATCAACCATTTAAAAGTTATGGCCAGGGTTAATGTTTTTCAAAAGTAGGTCAAACTCCAACTAAAGGTCAAGATCAAAGGGTCAAAGATGTTGGTATCCAACAGAAGGTCTTGTCACAAGGAATACACATGTGAAGTATGAAAGCCCTTGCGTCAACCATGCAAAAATTATGACCAAAGTTAAAGTTTTTCAAAAGTAGGTCAAACTCCAAGGTCAACGTCAAAAGGTCAAAGTTGTTGGTATCCAACAGAAGGTCTTGTCACAAAGAATACACTTGTGAAGTATGAAAGCCCTAGCACCAACTTTTCAAAAGTTATGGCAAAGGTTAAAGTTGCTTAAAATTTTGTAAAACTGGGTCAAACTCCAAGGCCAAGGTCATAAGGTCAAGTATAATGGAACCCAAAGAAAGGTCTTGTCACAAGGAATACACATGTGAAATATGAAAGCTATAGTTCTAACTAATCAAAAGTTAAAGGCAAGGTTAAAGTTTTTGCAGACAAACAGACGGACTGACAGGGCAAAAACTATATGCCACCGAATCTTTGATTATTGGGGCATAAATAACCAGACAACATGTAATAGTTGCAACAATTCAAACAAATTTCAATTATAACTTTCCTTTCCATGCTCTTGTTCAATATTACATCAAGTATCTGAAATTGAGTAAGTCAACATTCTTTAGCAAGTGATTAACCTATACGAGTTTGAAATTTGATCACCTAAGATGACAGAATTGTGAAATAAAGCTGCACCAAAGGAAAGATTGCTTGAAGTATATTCCAGTGCAATTGTTAAGTAAACTGCATTTTGATTCGCTAATACACTGATGTCTGAGGCTGGTAAATGAGCATTAATGAGAGTGAAAACTTTTGATTGTGATGTTGTAATACATAGATGCAAAAACACAACACTGCGACATATTTCATCTAACAGAACTCAATAAGATGTAAACATCAAACAAAATGCCTAGATTGCATTAGAATTGGAATAAATATCTTCTCATTTGTTATTTGCGATTGTTAATTTTGATTGAAAGGTCGCAAACATCCATTTTACAGGCACCACTTACGCGTCACGAGTAGAACTTTGTTTGCGATTATTAAATCAGCATTAACAGTTGCAAAAAACAAATGAGAAGACAGTTTCTGGTATTCCCAAATTTACATGAAGTGTATGCTCTACATACCTCCACATCTGTGGCATCAGGACGGCCATATCTAATGTTCTCCATCACAGAGGTAGCAAATAAAACTGGTTCCTGTGAAATATCAGACAATCTAAATTTGTTTGAAATAAAGTATTACACCTCAAATTAGAACACTCTGATGAGACTGTAGCTCCACTGGTTTCTACTTATATAAAAGGAAGAGAAAAGGTAGAACTTGGATAATTTTTTAGCTTAAGATTTATAGAATTATGTATACTGATGTCTTCTATACTTGTACCAAGTTTTGTTGCAATCAAGTCAAAACTGTAGGATGGGAAGCACGTTGAAAGATTTTCACATATATATATATTCGTTTTTAGTACCTATGGCAATTCCGATAACTAGAATTATCTGTCTTAGTTTAGTAGTATACTCGTGAACCAGGATTTAATCCTGAAATCAGACAAAAACTGCAGGAGGAGAAGCATTTTGATTGATTGTTTGTTGTTTTATGTCCCTTCGGAGATTTTTCACTCACACGAGATGTTACTAGTTGCTGGTGTAAGGCTTCAAAATTAGACCTTTACTCAGCAGTCGGCACTCAAGGCCATTGGGCATTGACGATTCTTTAGCATGGCAATCCCAGCAGTGACCTGGGGCCTCAGCTTTAAAGGCTTAATCCTAAAGAATCAAAACATCTTCTTCAATAGTGCAAAGGAACAGTCGTAACCTATCTTTTATAGACTAATAGGTTTGTAAAGGCATGGGCACAAACCCATGACCTTCCAACTACAATCTGATAGAATTACCATGCCAATAATATTATTTTGAAAGAATTTGATACATTATTCTATTTTTTATCAATATTGTTCATAAAAGTTTTAATGTGCACCATAGTGTAATATACCTGTGTTCCAGGCTTAATTGAAATTAAAACTTTGTGTTTGGAATAGCATTTTGAAAGAATTTCACATGAATATTTTAGTAACCATGGCAATGTTATGGTATTTGTCAAACTAAAAAACCATTAAAAAGAATGATGGAACTTAGTGTACCAAGTTTTATTGAAATCAGACTATAACTAGGAGGAGTAGCATTTTGAAAAAAAATGTTTACAGACAGATAGACAGACACCTAACCATTGCATAAGTTCTTCTGGTCTAGCTGTCACCAGCAAAGCTAAAAGGAAAATCATTATCAATCTGGTTTCCTGCAAAGACCTTGCATGTGTGTTAAAATACAGTAATTTCTTTGTCACCATAATATAGATCTTAACTTTTCAATATGTGGGGATCTTTAAATGTTTGAAAATATCTAGCCTTGTTGAATTTTTTCGTGTACATTAGCATGTAAAATATTAGCCTGACTGACCTGACGTGTCCTAGCTGGGGCTATAATTTGAATTTGAAGAATCTTGCAAGTAGATTTTGCAATTTGTAGCCATGTAGTTTTGATTTCTCCTCATGTATAATTCTATGTAAAACTTGCAGCCCTGTTGTGGTCTCATTTTGACTAGTGCGATCACAGTTAAGCAAAATCTTATTTTCCTCTATAGAGGATGGATCCACAAAAGTTTTTCTTATTTCTGGCACAGTGGTTCCTTTAAAACAAATTTAAATGGGCCCCAGTCTATTTTCCTTATTTTGTAATTATCTCCCCTTTGACTTTCAGTTGATGATGAAGAATCTCTGTCATTCTAAGGAGACTAAGCTTCAGAGTTTGGTTGAAATTGGTCTAGTTCTTGGAGATGTAAAAAATGAGAAAAACACATGTAGGTTACCCAGGGAACTCAGGTGAATTCAAAATTACATTGCCCACTAACCATCTTCTAATGGTGTTGTCATCAACATCTAGGTCAACAACAAATTTAAAGACCTAATGGGATTCCTTAAAATAGACAAGGTGTTTTTATTGGATACATTATCATGATTATATTTACGTTTCCACTTCCTTAAAATTTCCGCTTTCTGAGTCTCAATACACCCTCGAGTTATTAGCATTAACTGATGGTTAAATACTAAATTCAATCATACAAATTCAAAAGGTTGTGCAGAGCCTTGTGGTGAAGAGTGATGCATTGAAGCAAAATTGATAAATGAAACCCAGTAAGATTACAAGTTAATTTTTCGTCATTTTTTATTCATAATCATTATATTGAATTTTATTGTTTTGATGATTTATTCTTTCCAGATCATTTGTAATAATAAGATCGAACCTACTACATCACTTGGAGAAAGAGCAAAGTTAATAAGGAGTAATTAAAAGTAAATTTAATTATCCCAACTGGGGCCTTGATATGTAGGCATGTCTTGCATGTATATCACACACCCACATGAACGAACAAAGAAAACAAAACATAAATTCTTAATAAACACAGTCCAGCATAATTTCCAAGTGGGAAAAACCTAATGTTCATGTGAAATATTTATGACCTCACAAATTGTTACCTAGTTCACATTAGACGGAAACAAAATCTATTTTGGGCTTCAAATGGTCCACAAAAAAAGAATATAGTGAAAAGTTCTACAGCAATGCTTCATTGGGGGTAAATTGTTTTCCAGGTGAATGCATTTGTACATGTAAGTGATAAATCATTTAACAGTGCAGAAAGCATATTTATATGAAATAGGTGACTAATAAAGTACAGGAATTTTTAAAGTGATTACCAAAGTCTAAAGTCTTATTACATGAATGAACTTTAGAATACATTTGAATAATTTTTGGTGTATGAATGGAAATATGCTCATTGATATTATGGAGTAATAACTGGTTATCACCATGCCTCTTGACTGAAAAAAGTGGTATTCATGCAATAACAATTAAAATCTAAAGGTTATAAGATTCAGTCAACTTAACATTATGTATACTTAAAATTAAATCTAAGTGTAATAATCATGCATACATGCAGTCTTTTTAAAATCTCCAGAGGGGATTTTGCATGTACTGACATTTTTCCAGAACTGAAAATTTGTGGCATATGGTTGTAATTGCAAGTCAAAAAAGACAAGTAGGCACACGTTTATGCAAATAGAAATAATTAGTGAGACAATGGACAACTGGGGTTACATGTATCCCTTGAAGTACATAGACCCATGTCTATTGCTGTTTGATTTACAGTTTTTTAAAGTCCAATTTAAGTGTAATAATCATGCATACATGCAGTCTTTTTAAAATCTCCAGAGGGGATTTTGCATGTACTGACATTTTTCCAGAACTGAAAATTCGTGGCATATGGTTGTAATTGCAAGTCAAAAAAGACAAGTAGGCATACGTTTATGCAAATAGAAATAATTAGTGAGATAATGGACAACTGGGGTTACATGTATCCCTTAAAGTACATAGACCCATGTCTATTGCTGTTTGATTTACAGTTTTTTTTAAGTCCAATGAAACAATACAAAATGTAAGCACAGCAAACATAGACCTCTGAAACATCAAAGGTGGGATCAAGTGCCATAGAGGAGTAAGCATCCCCTGTCAATCGGTCACACCCACTTTGTGCCCTTTGTTATGATCAGGTAAATGGAGAAATTTGTAGTCAATTCAGTAAGAAAATAATGGTCTAACAATTAATTTGTATGAAAGACAGTCAACATTCCACCTAATGACCTTTTTTGAAGTGAGGAAATACAGACTAAATCATTGCCTTTCAGAATTCACATACAGAGAGTTAATTGTAAATCACTTTTCGGTTTTACTGCCATAGAAACCGTTGCAAACCAATAAAAAAATATCAAATTTCTTCCTTAAAATATGTTACAAGGATCTTTTTCTATTATTTGGTCACATTTAAACTTAAAATTGCTTTTATTTTGTGAAATATATGACTAATCTAAATGAATGAAAAAATTATTGCATTTCAATATTTTGTTTCCATGGTATCATATGTTAGAATTGTCTTCCCAAATATTTTTATCATGCATATAAGACATCAAGGCATTGACTTTTGGAAAAAGTCACTGTAACATTTCTGCATTGCTGCACTCTTTAACAATGGGACTCTGAACATGGTCAAAAATGATAATTTTAATCAAAATTTAGGGCATGTTGCCATGGTAACCAAGACACATAGCAACCAGCTTTTGCCTGATATGAGTTTATGGTATCAAATACTTTTACCATAGTGAGTTTGAAGAAATTCTGTGACTATGCATGCCACAGCTCCTACATGTATATAAGAGTTAAGTCATTTCAGAGAATTGCTTTAAGTATCCACATTTGATTAACACCACCTCTGCTGCTGAAGTTTGACTGTTTCCCCTTCACTGCTGTTAATATTTTGGTGAGAAAATAACGAAAAAAGTTTGTTAGAACATTTGTTAGATCCTGCTATGTATCTTTGTTTGTAAGGATTTTTATGAAGTTTTGGAATGCAATATAGGTATGGTACTTAATTCAAAAATCAATTTGGTTGATGTAAAATAAGATTCTCATGAACAAAAAAGATGTATATATAGTTAAAGCCTTCAAGTGCACTATATTGTAGATTATATGCACATTTTTTTGCAATCTATTTAAAGTTTCATAGAATATTCTGCATTCTGAGTTGATGATTAATCATGAGATAATTGAAAAGTTATTAATAGCTGAAAAATGATTGTCAATCCTCTAACTGGGTACTTATCAACATTCCTGCATGATTTTAACAGATTACCTGTAATATAACAAAATCTGGCTATACAGAAATACGTAATCTGCCAATTTGTTGGATTAATGCATAATAATTTGAATATAACCTATAAAATCCTTGGTTACTGTGCTCTATAAAATTTCTCCTCACTAAGTGGCAAATTCAGTATATAATGAATGACAAATATATAGAACATTCTTGACAAGATTTGATCCAATTCTATTATGAAGACATCACTCAGGATCAATGTACGCCTGGAACTGCATGGTATATACACATACTGATATGCTGATACATGTAATAGCAAATAAATCAGTTTAAATCGGCAGAAATTTACATAAAATTGTTCATCCATAATATCCTTATACCCATTATAACCATAGGTATTACATGTACCTATATTTGTGTCAAACAATTAGTCAACCCAGTGACTCCGAATTCCACAACAACATTCCACATTCATCTATTTGAGAAATTAACACAGTTTAAAGATTGCTTGTGTGGTTATCATGCAGACAAAATTTAGTCCTATCATTCCTCAAAAAAACAATCAAAAAATGATTTTTCATGTGTGCATGATTAAGAATATTAAATGAAATTGCCAAACATGATCATGCAGTTCTAATATTCAAACAAAAACAGCAATAAGTTGATTTTCTGTTATTTTTTGCCTCCATGCAGATTCTACCCTATAATGTACATGTATGCAACTATAAATAGTATTGTGTTCACAACTGCTATGATATCCAATTTTGGTCTTTTCATCTAAGGAAAAATAGCACATCTTACAAATACACTGACACGCAAAAGAAACGCAACAAGATGTAAACTACAAATATCGGAATTTTTACCTAATGGTTTTTAAAAATGAATACAGTTAGGTAAAACCTGATTTAAAAACATTAGAGATTTGAATTTTAACTTTAGAACATGGACTGTCATTCATGCTTATGATACGTATAAGCATGGTGAGGCGTGATGTATTGCATATTTGCATCTACAACTCTCCTTCAACTTTATTTTGAGAATTTCCAGCTAGAGCAATGGAAACGCATGCTTTCCGTCTTTTTGAGGAAGCCTTGGCATTATTTTGGGAAAAAATAGGAGAATTTTTTTTCAGAATATTACTGCAATACTTATGATTAACAGATACAAACCTTTAAAAATCCAAATTATTGCCAAATAATTCGTTAATCATGCAATTTTTTATTTCTGTTTAGAGGGCTCAAACTTAACTTCCGGTAATGGAATGAAAACCATTCAACCGATAAATTACCAATTTCGCAAAGTTGAAGATGTCCTTACTTTTTAAGTACAAAGTTATACCCTATATGTAATTTTTTCCCCCTAAAATAGGATGTTGCATTTCAGTATATGATCATACAATAACTGTTAAGTACAGAATCACAGTACCTGATTGATGAAGCCTATAGCTTTGCCCCGTAGCCATGAGGGGTCCAGTTCTCGTAGATCCACTCCATCTATACAGATCCTCCCACTCTCAATGTCATAGAACCTCTCCAGCAGAGCGGCCACAGTCGATTTACCTAAAAAAAAAAGTTACATAAGAAAACAAGAAAATGTGGTAGATGTAAAAAGAAAGATAACTCCAACACAATGCTTAATTTACCTCCTCCAGATAGTCCCACCAATGCAACTACACTTCCTTTTGGGATTTTCAGACAAAAGTCTTTTAAAACTTTCTGAAATTTAGAAGATATTGTAAGAGAAAAATTCTATAATGACAGCTTGATGTCATATACCGGTACGTACAACTCCATATTATTAAACACTAATATTAAATATTTACGATGATGTTCTAAAAATATTTAGATTAATACAGCTTAATTACTAAAAACAAAAGGTTTGATGTAAGCAACATCAATATGAGTAAGGAGAATTCCTGGTGATATGATGGTCATATGAATGGTCAGTTTTGCTGAAGCCTTCTTTAGTTTGTCAGTGTAGATGAGTGAGCTCCACAGACTGATGTGTGCAGGAGTAAAAGGGAAATGAAATATGTAAATTGTAACTACATCTGATCATAAAGAAAATTTGAGCAGCTCTGCTTTTTACCTGTTCTGCTCGAGTTGGATAGGAAAAGTTGACATGTTCAAATTCCACATTACCATGCATAGAATAGTACGGGATTATCTTTCCTCCCTTTATTGGGATCTTTGGTTGATGATTGATAAACTGAAATATGTTGAATTTAATATATAAAATATATAAAGTATTATATTTATGCAGCTTTGTTATTCTTGTTTCAAAGATGCATCTTTACAAAGAAATTACAATCTACATGTACTGATACTATTTTTATCCAGACGTACCTCAAATGCTCTAGCCCCAGCACTCATTCCTTTAACAACATTTCCAAACAAGAAAGACATCTGGGCAAGTGATCTACAAAAATCAAACATTAAATCAAAAAAATGTTTTAGCTATCATAACTAGAACTGTCCTAATAAGACTAATACTCCCGCAGGGTTATGATTTGAAGAAAATTGAATCTAAGACCTGAGGATGCTTCGATAGTAATATACCTAATCATGGCTTTCCTGTTCTTAAGAAGAAGATTCTCCAAGATTTTTTCCTAAATAATTCCTATGTAAAACTTTGATTACCTATTGTGGCCCCACCCTATGCCCAGTGGTCATGATTTGAACAAATTTGAATCTACAAAACCTGCGCAGCAATGTTAAGGCTTCCCGAAGCTTTAAAATACGCTCAAAACATAACATTTCATTGCGAGGTCAGTTTTGGTTTTAATTTATAAGTATTGTACTTTAGTACTTCCAATTTATATAGATGGTTCCCTCGGCTATAAACTAACATGTTTGTTATGATAACACATGACTTTGTTGATCACATGACAGTCATTTATAATTTTTTGAAGTGCTTCATATAAATCGCTTCGGCGCAGCTGATTAACACAATAATTATAAACATTTTGTTATATAAATAAACTCATCGTTTCCTTGTGTACCAGAAATGTGCTTGGGAAAAGTCATAGTATTACTTGGGTACAAAATATTTCGTTAGAAATTCAACTTGCCTACAAATTTGAGGATATTTTCCACACAATATCGTACTCTGTATTAAAACAAAGCCATCACACATTTTTCCCAAGCAAGATTCAGTTAGAGTACAACCTCTTCTTACAGATTTCCACAAAGAATCTCAGATCAATCCTCATTAATCACCTGCGCCAGACTCTTTTATACGCACAAAATAAATTCTACCTCAAACCACAGTTATAAAACAGAGTACATTTCAAAAGTATATTTTTCGTAAGCATTTTGAACATGCTGAATTTCAATCAAGGGTACGTAAGCGATGTATTTTTAAAAAATTATACATATAAGACTTGAAAAAACCTTTAAGGACCAGTGAATTTTGCAAAAGGTGTCTAGCATTTTACATGCAGTTTGAAATAAAGTGTAAAATTTATGACACTCTCCCCGTCATAACACCTCAAGTTGGCATTGACTTGACGTCATTTTCCATTATGACATCATATTTTGGTAGTTCAGAGAAGTGAAGGTACAGAGTGCATTGTGATTTTCTACAGGGAGCCTTAACCTACCTGCATGAGCATGCTTCCATATAAATATGAATTATATGCTGTTCTTGAGCAGAAGATTTTTCAAGTTTTTTTTCCAATATAATCCTTTGTCAAACTTTGATCTCCTAGTGCAGCCCCGTCCTACTCAAGGTTCATTTGAACAAAATTGAATCTACACTACGTCAAGAGGCTTATATACACATAAGTTTCACATCATACTGGGCATCATTGCTGAAGGAAACAGTTCTTTATTTTGGAGCTACCTCTCTTAGATAGAAGTTATCTCTCTGACATGGGAGTCGTCTTCCTTACATGGAATTTATCTCCCTTAGATGGGAGTCATCTCTCTTACCCCCCATTCACACAGAGCTGGGACTTTACGACGATCATCCCGATCAAGCCATGATCTGAAAAAGTTTTAGATCGGGGCGGATCGGAGCCGATCGACGTCTAAATCGAGCAATTTGGCAAATTATGGTCTTCATTACGACCGTACTTTGATGCCCCTACGTCAAACGCGCTGCTAACACGCTTCTACTACGATGTTACGCAGACCGTTGCCTGACTGTACGACGATATCGCTACGGTGGTGCCGATCATATTACGATTGTATTACGCTTCTAGTACGATTTTGGCGATGATGTATAAAAATCTTGGGTTTGAAACATATTTTTCACTTCTGTCCAAACTTTACCACAGGGTTTACGGGGCATTTTCAATTGTAACTGTAACAAGATGTGAAAAGTTCGAAGTCTCAACTGCAAATGATCGTCAAGTATAGTGTCACCTTTTACGTGTAGTTGACAGATGATGCTTGGTCAAATATCAGCGCTATAAAAACAAACTGCTGCCTGATAGGTTGTGGTATGATCGGCGTAAGGTCATTGTAGGTCTTCGTAGGATCGTCAGGAATGTAGAGAGATCGTAGTGGGAATGTAGTGGGAGCGTTGTAGGAGTGTATACTTGATAAGTTCCCGAATGTACTACACTTTTACTGTGCTTTTACCACGATCACGAAGATCTCTCCACGATGCTTCCGCGCTGCTTGTACGATTACGGCGCTTCTACTACGCTCTTTTTACGACTTTACCCCAATTCTTGTTTGCCATGATCCCGCTACGCTTGTTTTGAGCATGTTCAAAATAAGCGTGGCAAGAGCGTAGAGCTCTCTGATCATGAACACCCTACGGCGATCATACTGCGCTTATAAAGACTCCACTTCGTTTCTCCTGCGATTTGTCACGATCGGCCAAGTTTTCGGCCACACTTTGATCGTAGTAGCAGCGGCGTCTATGTGTGAACGGGGGCTTAAATGGAAGTTACAGTCCCTGAAACGTTCTACTTTCCCACTTGAACGGTGAGCGAACGCTGAACGAACGGTGAACGAACGCAGAGCGAACGGTGAGTGAACGATGTGTGAACGCTGAACGCAACTTGGTGAACGATGTGTGAACGGTGAGCGAACGCAGAACGCGAACGGAGCGCAAACGCGAACGCAAAGTGAACGGTGAACGAACGGTGAACGCAAGATGAACGATATATTCGGAATGCCTCTGATCTTTTCCTTGCATTGAAACTATTTTATTGTATTATAATGTCAGGTGCCAAAAAATAAATAAATAAATAAATAATAAATAAGTAAACCAATAAATGAATGAATAAATAAGTCAATAAAATAAATTCTCCAAAATTGTCCTAAGAAAGACGATGCATGCACAATAAGTTTTTAATCACACGATTTTTATCGCATTATAACATTGTAATTGTTGCCGAACGCTGAAGTATACAAGAATAGATATGGGTTACCCCATATCCAAGATATTCGACTTTTAATTTATTCGAATTTTCATTGTGCTCAGATGATTTCTAATTTTTAAAAAAAAAAACTATTTACTGATAAAACGTCAGAGATACTCAAGCTGTAGAAAGTCAACTATACAATGGCCATAAATAACCTAAAATGACATAATATTTAGACTACTGGGTTTCAACATCTTTTGTTGAATAAAATATGCATGTACTAAGGAAACTGCATGTACATATAACGTTACATGCGATTAGTGACTTTTATTATCACAACGTTGCAGATGCCTATAGAAAAAGTTTTAATTTCACATAGAACATAGACTAAATATAATTAACCGTATAATTTTAAAGATGTATTTAACAGCTCACTCATTTTCAGGAATATTTAATCCAAATAGCATGTTACAGGCCTGTAGCAACGTTTTCAAAGTGAAAGGGGGGGGGGGGCTCCGAAAAAATCCCGCATACTATGGGCCTGTGCTACATGTGTACCATCTAACTTTCCAATGTTAGAATCTTCTGTAAAAATTCGAAACAAGTCCAAGCAAAGATCAAAGATAGTCCAATTTTTATAAATAGCAAAACTATAGATCTATCAAGGATAGATTTTAATTTATTTTTTAATTTTGTCCTATTAAAGTACTTTAACTCAAAGTATAGGCAGATGTTAAAGATGGGTCAACAAGAGTAATCAATGAACTCGTCTAGAGATGCATTGACGGCCGTTGTTAAACGCAAAGGAAAGCGCGAGATCGGTTGCGGCTGTGGAGCATCACTCCTTCGTCATAGAATAAAATCCGACATTTAACACTTTATATAGATTTTGAATATAGAGACGTTTTGAAGATAAACTTCATTTTTGTTTCTAGAAATGTTTTTATTTACAAAAATAGTATATTTTCGTGTTTTTAAACTGAGTAGATCAATGACCTAGCATCGTTTTAGGTAACTCAGCCCCTTTAGCCCAGTCTAGGGCTTGAGTAAAAAAACCTGCACTTGTTATGAAACTGGTGTATAGTTCTTCTTCATGTCCGTAGCAAATACTGATACCCAGTCTACATGATCTAAGCGTCACTAGCGAACGATGCACATACCTGTGCTTGCAAGACCAAATAGACTAGGTTTACACACGTGTGAAGATCCTTTCAGACGAGCTCGGCAAATCACGTTGCTTTGCCGAGAAGTTACGATTGCAGGTGTTTAACAACATAATAACCATTCCGTTATTTAAAAAAAGAGAAAAAACCACACACACACACACAGTTAATGATTAATATTCTCACTCAAAAGAAAATATACGGCAATTAACGAACAATAATCATGACAGTTATATAATTGGTGAAAAGATTTATCACTATCAATCGAAGGATGACCTATATATTTTCGTGAAAAAGACTGAGGAGGCAGCGAGCGTAGGAATATGAAAACTTTTTATTTCCTTTTCTTGGGAAAAGTGATTTTCTTAAAATCTTTTTACGTTAATTTTGTTTTCTTTAACGTATTAAATATACATCATTATTCTTAACATTTGTTGTAATGTTGTATCTACTGATCATGAATGGAACTATTTTCTTCGGAGCAATTGTGTGAAGAGTACCTGACTTTAGTAATATATCTTGAATAGATAATATGCACTGATCGAATATATTAAAAAGATGTTTTTTTTTAGTTGGAAAAAAAGAATGTTTATTCTTATTTGATAACAAATCAGAGAAAACTTCTGACTTACAGAATGAATTAAAGCGGTTGTAACATCCATTCATATATCTCCGTGTCAAGGCGATTTCGTGTAAAGTAATGAAAATAAAAATAATTACAAAGGTCAGTGGACGTTTTGCATTTATACGCTCGTATTTAAATGTTTAATACAATAATATATTGTGTGTCATTTCTACTTTTTCATGATGATTTATTGAGCAGACTTCTACATGTATCTGTAGATGGCCGTGATTATACTTGGACAAGATAATACAAAGATGCATATTCATATTATTTGTTATAAATTCAATTTTCAGAACTTTATATTTAAGTAATATGCTGTTATAGTGTTTATTAAACAGACAAATGAGAGAGAGAGAGAGAGAGAGAGAGAGATTCCGTTTTAGCCCCCCCCCCCCTCCTTTCAGGCTTCACTAAATGTTTGTACCTATATAAAACAAAAACTTTGAATTTTTTTTCTAAATATATCAGACAGTGAAAGTAACTTTTTTTTTTATCAACAAATCATATCCATTTGTTTGACAGTCATACTCGTTTTTATTTTCCTGCTTCAAGTTCACACGAAGTCCACGTGCTTGTCCTGTCAATCAAAGTCATTCGACACTCTGCAGGTGTGAAAGTTTCGTCACATCGAAGACGAAGTGCGAGTATTTCCAACAAGTTATAACATTTATTTTTATCATTTCTAGATTTGATTCCAACATTTGAATAATAAATGAATAAAATACATTGGGCATTAGCACTTGACTTTGAAACATACTCTCTGCCAATTTCAAATACCACCGCCGACACGTGTACATTTTGAACTACTATTGTTTTGTGACTTTTTTTAGATGCATGTTTGTTTTGAGACTGAAATTTTTGTTCTAAAAAAGACCTTAACATTTTTTTTAAATGTTAATTAAAATATTCTGGAAATACAGTACTGACTAAGTAACCGATTTAGGGGGAAAGGGGGGGGGGGGGTTATTAATCATATCGAATGGCAAACATATAAAGTTACGGTGAAGAAAGAATTTTTTTCTCTATAACTATATATAAACTTAACATATTATAGTAGAGAAAATTCTGTAGTGTATTACATTTTTAATAAATATTTCCTTTAACCACACTATCAATTTAATTCGCTCCAAAGATAATAAATTAACAGGATATCCGCAGTACTATGTATAACTCTCAGAACTAGTTCTATCATATTTTCTGTAGTAATTGAAAAAAAGTGTTAGAAATAAATATTTTCGTAATTTTGCTGCGTAATTATTTTATTTGGATAATTATATCACCATTAACGATTTGTGGTCTTTAACAAAACAACAAATTGTTGCAGTGCTTGAAGTATTTGCACATTGCCCTAAGTAAAATTTAATATTTCAGCATCGATCTACATAGGTACAGAATGTGCTTATAACAACATTTATTTTCCAGAGTAATTTAATAAATAACCTAACAGCTAAGTTAGAATAATAAATATATATATCGTAGATATTTTTCCCCATGAAATAATGATTCTTCAAACACGATATGTTAGTTATTAAATTAAAAAAACCTGTAACTCCTTACCTACAAAAAGATAAGTCCTTTCACTTCGGAGTTCCGAATGACAATCAAACCTGAACGATAGGTGAACGCTGAACGCAAGGTGAACGCAAAGTGAACGGAACGAAGAGCGAACGCTGAACGCTTTGTGAACGGTGAACGCGAGCGCACGGTGAACGGTGAACGCAAAACTGTGAACGGAGAGCGAACGGTGAACGCACGGTGAACGAACGGTGAACGCACGCTGAACGAACGGTGAACGAACGGTGAGCGAACGGAAAAATGGGAAAGTAGAACGTTTCAGGGACTGTATATTTTTCTTACATGAGTTATCTCTCTTACATAGAAGTTATCTCTCTTTTTTTTAATTAACCTTTTTACATGAAAGTTAGCTCTCTTACATGGGAGTTACCTCTCTTGCATGAGAGTTATCTCTTTTAGCAGATGGTAATTTATCTTATAATTCCAGATAAATATATATGATACAAACAAGACATTTTCCCCTTAGTTTTTGAGACTTGAATGGATCTGTACCTTTCAATAGTCTGAGAGGCCACCAGGAAGGACATGAGATCCCCAGCAGTTATCTCCCCTCCAGACATCAGGTGTCCTCCAGCAAACAGAGTTCCCAAAACAATTCCTACAAAACAATGCAAGGGCTGTATTTGTGAATATAGCTTTAAATAATGAAAATAATGATTCTCAGTAATTCTACTGTATATTAATATTACTCTTACAACAGTATATTCTGATAAATCACCATCAAAATAACCTTCATTTACAATGTTGGCCTTATAGTTCTTGAGGACAAGATTTTATAAAGAATTATTTTACATGTACAAAGTTTTATGTAAGACTTTGACTCTCTTCTCTTGGTTCGACCCTGTCACTGGACCATGGTTTGAAAAACATGAACCTACACTGCATGAGGGTGCTTGTGTATTTAACAATTTGTACATGTACATAGAAGTTCTTGAGAAGATTTTGAAAGATATTTCTGACTAATTATTACATAAAATTCTGGACACATCCTAGCCCCCTGGGGCCATGGATGGAAAAATTGAATCGGCACTACGAGGAAGCTCTCACATATATGCTAAATTGTAGCCATGAAGTTCTTGGGAAGAAAATTTTAAAAAGTTTACTATGTAAAACTTTGGACCATCTTTTCCTGATCCCTTTTGAAGAGCATGAGTATGAACAAAACTTGATTCTATCTGTATAAGGGGAAAAAAGCTTTAAATTAAGTTTCAACATTTTTGGATAGGTGGTTCTAGAAAGTCAAGATTTTTACAATGACCCCATCCCCATTTCATTATGTCAGAATTATTACCCCTTTTGTAAGAGGCAAGACACGTATGTACCTTGTACATTGATCATTAAACATTTTGAAACAAGCTATGTGCTTTTTCCTTTGTGGATAAAACTACCTAATTTATTACATTTCCAACAGTGAAATACTGTAATTTATTCATTGAGTAAAAGTGATATTCTGACACAGTGTGAAAAGATATCAAAATGGTATTCTCACAGTTTGAGAATATCAGGAGTGCGGCAAAGTTCTCGATTTTCCTTCCCATCACAAATAGTGTTTTAAAAAACTCCCTGGCCTGTTATAATATAGAGAGAGTAAATAAACCATTCTGACAGAGAATAGAACTGCCAAAGTTTCTCCAAATATGTTGTTAAAAATCCATGTTTACAACGTTCTCGCAATTGCTTAGCTATGACGTCTCAACCATTCAACTATGATGTCATAGCCTATGACACCGTGTTATGAAGACAGAGTCAAAGGGAAAATCAAAGAAAATGTAAAAAACAGAAAATTAAATATTTTGTGGATGAATATGGAATTTATTTCATTCATGAGACAGGATTCTTTTTATATTTTCACTAGTGCTTCGCACTTGTGAAAATATCAAAAAGTGCCCCGCCACAGCATGATATGCCCGTCAAATATTGTTCAATAGTTATAAACAGTTTAGAGTGCAAGAAAATCTGAGCTGACAAAGTTTGATAATCCTAGGCCTAATCGTATTAAAGTTATGACCGGACACGAGAAAAGCTAACGGACAGACAGACGGACGGACATGATCACCATAACATAATATGTCCCGTCTAAAGACGGGCGTATAAAAAATCCTGTCCCACTCGTGAAATAAAGTCCATATTCATCTACAAAACATTGAACATCCTCTATGTACTCACTACAGTATTAATCCCTATAAAATAAATTTGTTCTTCATGTTGATCCAATACTTGTTGACAATTCTTTATGAACAAGTAATCACTTGTAAAATACTGTGATGTTTTGTCTATGGAGTATTCTACAGTCAAACCTCATTATCTTGAATTTGATGGGACTGAGAAAAAATTTAGACTTATCCAAGGATTCAAGATAGTGAGGTAAAAATACATAAAGAAAAAATAGTTGGGACTTCCAAGAGACTTTGACATATCTATGGAATTTGCAATATCTGTGTTAAGATACCAAAGTTCAACTGTGTGTGTATGAAGTTAATTAAGCATTGAGACCATAAGCAATCCGACTTTGGAAAGGTATAAAGAGCAGAGAGTTTGCTTGGTTAGAAAAGAGAAGCTGATCATGATCTTACATGTTAGTTCAACTGAAATGAATCAGATTAAAAATATCTACCATTTAGAGCTACATTAGCAAGACCCTGAAATGCTCCAATGCCAAAACCTAAATTAATATTCATCTTCCTTGACAACTCCACTTGCTGACTGAATAACCTGAAATAATATGGTAAATATTAATCAAAATATGCATTATTTAAAACCTTCGGTCAAATATAAAAAAACTTTCAAGTAGAAGAAAGGAATTTAATTTTAATGATATTATTCATAATCTGCATCACAAACACTAAAGTGGGTGTGGAAGAATGAAAATCTTATAATCAATCTTCTACACTCAATTTTCAATCTTTTTTTCTAGATAGTGCCAACTCCCAACATACTTAAGACTTACTCATTTTCCTTTGTTTCCATGGCAAAAGCTCTCACAGTCCTGACATTTCCTAAAGCCTCATCAGCAACAGCAGTGCTTGTGGCAACCTGAAATAATGGAGCAAATCAGACATTAACTGTTAACACAACAGTTAACAAGACATGAGGCTAAGTCAGGAGTACCATTAGTTCTCACTTCACCAAGGTCTGTGGAACAACTGAACAGAACAATTATTACACAATTACTCTATAAAGGTTTATTTTTGCCTCATGTTATTTTTGTACAAAACTATCACACTTGCAAAGAGTTTTGCCTTTTATTAAAGTTGTGTTTAAAGAGAGATAACTCTGTTTCTGTCAAATTCACCTCATTTTGAATCTGTCCATTAATTGAAAAATAATCAGCAGTACCTGTATATTGTATACAGTATACATGTATTGCTTGTCTTTGTACACAATGTATCGACAAGCATGAAATAAATCAGTGATTAAGTTTACCAAGAAGTTTAAAACATGTCAGCTGCATATCTTGTGTACAATTCAATGACACAAATTGTATACAATCTACCTACAAGAATGTTACAAAATTAAATTTTAAAAAAAAGGTTAAACACAACTCTTGTAAAAGTGTGAACAATTCAACTGTTTACATTTATTGCATGAATGTTTGGGTAAATGAAGATTTCTTCACCCAAGAAAAATCATATTTCCTGAGGGAAACAGCCAAGGGGCTGGGGGAATGTGGTTTTTCATGGGTGAAGAAATCCTCATATCTCCAAAATATTCATGCAATAAATTAATTGTTATTATATTGAATCAAGCACAATGCATAAAGTAAAAACTAGAACTGTCCAAAAGGGACAAATACCCCCCGCTGGGTTTTTCAGAGAAGGTACCAAATCACTAATGTTTTCTAGATGTGAGGTGTTCACAATTTGCTTAAACATTTAGAGTGAAAATTTAATTACTCATATTTTTTTTAATGAATGAAACTAAGGTGCAGCCTAATAAAACATCAATACTAATATAATTACAGTGTTTTTTATTACATTGAAAAAATAGTTTGCAACTATCTGTCATCTTTGTGAGACATGACACTCTGCAAATTGATTGTTGGAAAAAAATTTATAATAATTAATTATACAAAATCAAATTGATCTTAATACCTTTATATCAAACTCATTTTAAAAAGAAAAGGCTGGTTCCAGTAACTACGTATTTTGACAGATATAAATTACAATTAAGAGACTTAGACAACAGAGATCTTTATTTCTTTCTGCCCAATTCCCAAGAGATATAGATAAGACCTGCTTGATCAGAGATGCCCTAACAGCTTCCCACACTGAACTCATTAATTAATCTTTAACTGGATGCATGTCCACTCATTACTCCCAAGGCACAAATGGATTTACACTATCTGCTGTGTAATGTAAAAACTGTTTTTAATACTTTGTGATTTTTTTTTTAGTTCTAATGAGTTGTTTTAAGCTGTAGTTCACATTTTTGTACAGATGTTCTAGATTCTATGTCTCAAACCTTAGACATAAACCCGAAATGACTAAGTCAATAAAAATGAAAAAAAAAAAATGTAAAATGCAGAAAAATTATCAAATAATGTTGAAAATACCAGGTGCACATCTTCATATGGTAAATAATAAGTGTACAAATTTTCATACAAATCTATGCAATAGTCTCTGGGAAGAGATCCGGACAAAACCACATAAGAATGGAAAAAACACCTGTAAAATGCAAAAAAAAATATCCAATCATAATGAAAATACCAGGTGCACACCTTCATATGGCAAATAATAAGTGTACAAATTTTCAGACAAACCCTCGCAACAGTTTCCAAGAAATGGTCCGGACCAAATCTCGTCTACAGACAGACGGACAAGCTGATTCCAATATACCCCCCCCCTAAACTTCGTTTGCGGGAGGTATAAAAAAAAAAATTAAATGAATTTTAAAAAAATCAAATGAATAAAGTAAAAATTTGATAACAGCAATGAAACAGGTAAACTGCTATAGCAGGGTTCATGAAAAACATTCTTATGTGACAAGTCTGTCACCAATAACATTTACAAAACCCACTAATAAAATTCCATTTATTTACATACTATTTTTAACAGTCAAAATGCACTAAAGATTGGTGTTTGCAGCAACCTTATATTAAACTTCATTTACATCTTGGTACAAGTCTCATGTGACGTCACAATGGTGTGAGTTTCTCCTTGAATACAAAGGGTGAAACACAGCAATGTGTCCCTTAACATTTCGCTTCTTTTATACTGTTGGTATGTTACTATGGACTTACCTGATCCTGAGCAGCTTTGGACAGAGCCCGTAACCCCGACCCCATCACCGTCCCCACCCCAATGATGGCAGGAATCACAGTCACCATCAGAACGGTGAGTTTGGGAGATATCACATACAATGTAAACACACAGCCTATTGTCTGAAATAAAAACATCATGTTACTGTATCACATAATACAAGGAGATATCACATATAACATAAACACACAGCCTATTGTCTGAAATAAAAACATCATGTTACTGTATAATATAACACAGGGAGATATCACATACAATGTAAACACACAGCCTATTGTCTGAAATAAAACATTACTGTATCATATAACACTGGGAGATATCACCTACAACGTAAACACACAGCCTATTGTCTGAACTAAAAACATCATGTTACTGTATCACATAATACAAGGAGATATCACATATAACATAAACACACAGCCTATTGTCTGAATTAAAACATCGTATTACTGTATCATATAACACAGGGAGATATCACATACAATGTAAACACACAGCCTATTGTCTGAAATAAAAACTTCACATTACTGTATCATATAACACAGGGAGATATCACATACAACTTAAACACACAGCCTATTGTCTGAAATAAAAACATCATGTTACTGTATCATATAACACAGGGAGATATCACATATAACGTAAACACACAGCCTATTGTCTGTCAGATATTTCTGAAATAAAACATCACATAATATCATTACTGTATCATATATAAATTGAGATATCACATACATGTATAATGCCCACTGGGTCAGCTTATTGCCCAGCTAGTCAAGTATTAAGGACAGAATGTGTACATCTGTCACTAAATTACAGCAGAACTGACCTGTGTAAAAGCTCGCAGTCCCTGAGATATACAAAGTTTGAAGGAGCTCTTAAAATCCTGGATATCGGAAGTTAATCTGTAATAAAAAATTTGACATTGTTGTTAATTATTCAAATAATTTATTTAAAACACTAAAAGAAACTAAAACCTTTTGAAAATATTTCTTAAAACCTTAAATTAAGCATTGAATCCAAGTAATGTTTACAGTATATTAGATATATTTTTATTTACAAATTAAGCTGGGGAGTGCCTATGATGATCAGATGCCTTCCCCACAAAATTTTGTTCTCACAAACCAATAAATATTTAGCACTCTTAAGAGTTTGTCCTTTCAAATTTAAACGATACAATAATACTTCTAAAATATCATTTCCTAGAAATAATCCAGAGATATCTGTGTTGGCGGAACTTTACATGTTATGCATCCACTTAAATAAACACAAATGTAATGTTTAAATGTAGAATACATTAATCAGTGGTAGTGTACTTAATACTTCATATAATTTGATTATAATCTTTCACCTGACCTGTCTACCAGCTCTCCAGTTTTGTGTGTATCAAAAAACTCCACATCTTGACGTAGCAGAGAGTCAAAGAGTCTCCTCCTCATTCGAGCAGCGACATTTTCACCCACAGTTGATAACAGGGATATGTAAGTAAATGTTAATAGGCCCTGGAAAAAAATTATAAATGACAAATTTACTTTTCAACTCAAGCATTTGTATCTTCAAATATCATAATGCTTAATTACTTTTTTAACAAGGGCATCGCAAAGCAGAGCATCCCGTCACAAAAAAGCACAACGATCCCCATACAAATTATAACTTGTGTAAATTCCGTTAGGCACGCACTCACTCATTCACTTACCCACACACACAAGCACATTACTATATCCCCTCAAACTTCCTTTGGATAATAACAGTTGCATGTACTGTATGTATCATTATCCACATACATTTTGTTAAAATTAAAACAATATTATAGAGGAGGAGCTGAAAGAGATAAAAAAAACAAATCTTGAATTTATCAGCCCATGAATTGTATTTAAAATGAACAGATGTTTCAGGTGGTCTCTCTATACAAATGAAAGTAAAGATGACAAGATTTACATGTACCCACCTATTGTAAGAAGTTTAATGTCCTACCTAAGTAACTGTGACAAAACTATTTTGGTGTCTCAAAGAAAAAGTTAAAGCTTCTTCTGAACCAAAGACTTATAGGACTAGCACTTATACCTGGTTTATGTTATGCAAAGCGGATTAGAGTCATTGACTCTCCCTGAATGGGACACCAGTCCATCAATGATTAACTCCCTTGGCCAGTATAAGCCCATATCCATCACAGCTGGGTGGATTGAGACAATGCAAATAAAGTGCTTTATATAAGGACACAACACACAACATCAAATGCCCACAATGTGCTTTGAACCAGCAACCTTTGGTTTACTGCCCAAAATCTTTGACCACAGAGCCATATCATGCATACTTCACAAGTGTCTTAAAAACATGCTTTTAATTACCATGCACATTCTTCTTCTTTCCAAATACTGGAAAGTATTTTACTGTCAAGAAAGGCTACTATGAAAAATTTAGTAAATAACATAGTCATGGGCAATAACTCTTGATAATCTGACTGTATTCTTATTTATGCTACAACAAATTTTGCAGATCTAAGAAGTCTGATTTAAAAGTTATATAAATCATTTTAATTCTTGAAATTCACATTAAAAATCACTCTAAACTTTCTATGAATCATTCAGTAAAAAACATGATGACAAAAACTTATGTGTAATTTAAAACATTAAAAAAAAAAAAAACAAAGATCACAATGGCTAACAATGAATAACTTTTACCTGTAAACCATAAAACATCATCAGTTTGATGGCTGGGATTTTGAGGTTATTGATGAAATCCCCTGTAGCTTCTCTTGTCATGTTGGATACCACATTAACGACATCACCCAACAACAGAGGAATCTTAATATTAACCAAAGCAGCAGACACTGCAGCCTGTCAAAGATATATGTACAGAAAATAAAAGCATAGAACATCTTAAACTGATCATTAGATTAGGAGAATAAAGCAAGAAACAATGTCTGTAGTACATTGTACCAGGGATACGATATATCAGTACAGAAATTTTTACAAGCAATTAAATCAAGACATCCATATGCTTTTTTTTTAAAAGTTTCTCTTATACATTTTTTTTTAAAACACAAAATGTGAGATAAAAGAAAAGTAACTGAGATCCCACCCCCTCTTTAAAAAAATACAATTAAAAAAAAAGAAATTAACAAACAAACTAAACAAAAAAAAACATACAAAACAAACAAGCAATGAATATTTGAACAGACCTATGCCAGCATTTTTCAAATTGCCTGGACAGAAAAATTTAACTTGAATCAAAAATGCTGATTTGAACCTTCAGAAAAACTTGGAGATAAATAACTTACAATGACTGCAGCCAGTAGATACCACATTTCTGGGTACAACATCTGCAGGAACTGTCTCCAGTCAAACTTGGCATCAGGTCCCACACTGCCATTTTTCTCCACAAGACGAGAATGTCTGACTTTAGGTGCACATTCAACAGTTCGGGTTTTAAATTTTAGAGTCACAAAACCATATCCCAGAGGCAGAGACAGAACATACTTTTTAATTCCTAATAATGGTTTTCTACGTGTGAAGGAATAATTCCATTTTATGTTCTTCAGGAAGGACTTCCCTGTGTGGGTCCATGTTTGTTGAAATTTTAAAGTAAATTGGGGAGCACGGTGAACAAATCTAACCAAAAAAAAAAAATAATAATAATAAATTAAACAATCTAGAAAAAATTACACTGCTTAAAATTAAAATTCACTTTAAGAAATAAGAATTTTATGCAATTTTAATATACACATAACAAGACTTATGTCTTATACTTACTCTTAGCTGTAGCTAATTATACTTTAACTTTACCAAAATTCAAATAAGTAACTGTAAACATATATTATTGCACTAAATTAGAATAAGTATGTAGTTACTGTAAACGTACATAAATTCAGTGCAATCTTCCTCTTCAATTGATTAATGCAATCATAAATTAGCACACTTGATTCTTGCAATATCACATGTACAGTATTATTTTGAATCATATATTTTAGCATGTACATGAATTATTAAAAGGTGCTAAAATTTATCATGTTGATTTCAGCTAAAATAAGTATGTTTACGGTAATTTCATTTCTTACAAACTTTAAGGCCACACCCTTTACAACATATCCCTCAAAAAAAAAAACACACACACACACATTAGAAACATGTACCAGTATATTCTCAATGTACATTGTGACAAATATCTCTAAAAGAGTTCCTAAAAAAGATATTTACAAATTAATATTACTTTTACTTTAAGCTTTTTTAAATTCAATTTGATAATCATTTGCCATAAATGTTGTGTTACACACATGAGTAGAAATACTGTATACCTTGAACTAGTACGAAAAATTTGAAAATGGACAAGGATTTGAACCCATATGCATTGCTCAATGAACTCTAGATGGATGCTTTACAGAACTACCTTGTCATGCTCTGGCAAACAAAACTACCTGCCACAAATGTATTTAAGTTGACAATTGGAAACACTTTTGAGTTTAAAAATTCCTACTGATAGAAGTCCAGGTCGGATCCAAGAACTTGCATACAACTTATTTTTTATGAAACACTTTTATATTTGCCAGTTGGCTGACACAGCATATCTCTATACCTAAGGAGACCAAGATTTTCATCTTGGTCTTGAATGTCCTTTCTCCCTTCTTGTTACATGTAGTGCATTGCTCTGGAAATGAGAGGAGAAAGATCTGCAAGGGAAGGGTCTGAGTTGGTGTCTTTGAGGGCTAAAGAAGCTAGGGTTCAATGCAAAACATAATCCTGTAGTCTGAGGGGTACTAGTTAAATTTAATGGGACTAGTTACATGTCTATCCAATTAGTCCTGCAGATGACTAGAATCTACTGTTTTCCATATGTTTGGCAAACTCAATGTAATTTCACTTTAGTGTTAAAAAATTACAACTCATGAATAAGACAGATAAATTCAGGGATGCTATTTACATGTACATTGAACTTCAATACTAGTATACTGAGTATATAGCACTTTTACATTGAGAGTCAAAATGTCTCTACATATAAAAATATGTTGCTTTATCAATGCAAATGGAAACATACGTGAGAAAGGTAAAAAAAAAAAATAAAAAAAAAAAAAAAAGGAGGGATAATGTTTTAAAGGAATTTCAGAGAAATTTCTATTTTTAGTAACCATGACAACATCATTCAACAAAATCAAAAAGACGATGCACCTAATTATGTATCTTAGTGTAGACTACTTGTGTGTCAAGTTCTATTGAAATCAGACCAAAACTGTAGGAGGGGTAGCGTTTTGAAAATATTCTCAGAAATTTCTATTTTTAGTAACCATGGCAATATGTTTCATCGAAATCAAAAAATGATGCATTGAATTATGTATCTTAGTGTAGTATACTTGTATGCTAAGTTATATTGAAATCAGACGAAAACTGTAGGAGGAGTAGTATTTTTGAAAAATTGTTTACAGACCGACAGACAGCTAGACAGACAGATGGACGGAGGACGGACACCTCACTATAGCATAAGGTCTTCTGGTCTCTGACCAGACAGTAGAGGTCAAATTTGGAGCAAATTACAGTAGTTGATATCAATATTTACTGTTGATATAGGATTAATACTTTTAATTATTTTTCTCAATCTGTGTGACAGAATGAGATAAAAAAATGATAAAAATTTATTTGTCTCAATTCAAATGAGTATATAGCAAGAATTTTTTTTTTTTTTTTTGATTAATTGAGTAAGAAGTTCGGCCATTACAGCTTTCGAGTCGTTCTTACGAAGTTCATCAGAAATTTCACATAGAAAATCGACCGAACTGTTTAAATTGTGGAAGGAATATGTTCACTAACATTCCCTGATGCCTATCCAAATGCACCTATGCTTTATTTCAATAAAAATTGGATTCGAATAAGAAGACCACTATTTGGTCAGTAATTTTGTCTCCGGTATGGGCAATTGACCAACAAACAGGGGTTAAACCACATTGGTGGTTTGTGTCTAACCTGTTGTATGTGAGGAAATTCGAACATTATTCTAAACAACCTTCAAAGCTTAGCTGATTTTATAGATTTTACATAGATCAAGATTTTTTTTTATTAAATATTACCTTAAGACACAAGAATTTCTTAATAAGGAAACCAATGTCATCTTAATTTGAGTGTGCTAAAGAGTAAATTGAAACCTAAAGATGTCAACAGTCAAAATGATTTTCACATGATGATAGAGGCAGCCATTTCTGCAAAGCTAGGTGATATTTACTTTCGTAAAAAATATCGGACTTGATATTCTTAAAGGATACATTATCATTGAAAAAATATTGATGTCTTATGAAGAAAAACAATTTGGTTTAATCCTAATTCTTGGTTAGCACTTTTGTTTACATTAGTTACTGCATAACTTGTGATACTTCCGGTCGAAACCGAAAGCGGAAAAATGCCCAAAAGTGATGGGAAATCATCCTCTATAAATACAAACAAAAATGATTCTTTAAAGCAAACAACAATGGGAAATTTTTTTTCAGGGAGCAAACCTGCGAAGAAACCGAGTGTATGTTTTTATCACTGTCAATAAGAAAGTCAGTCAGTGTCATTGTTAACCTGTGAACCATTTTGCAGAGATAAGATTAAGATTACTAAGATATGTTTGAGGTTTTAAAACAGAAACACGTCATGTCATTTCCAAGAAAGCCCAAAGAAAGTAAAAATGAAATTATAATTTTCCTCCTAAATCGAAAGCATGTTAATTGCTCAGTATATTTAAATGTGAATCAATATCTAACAACCCGACCCTTGGCAATATTGTTTATTTCTTTTATATGACCATACTAATGTAATGCAAGACAATTTATATTGTCCACTACCCTTGCCCAATTTTACTAGCAGTAAACACTGTAGTATTTAACAGTGATACTATCTAAGTAAAATCCCTCCTTTCAAGTGCTGATGTATATTTATATATGACGCTTTTAAGTTCAAGAACTATTTGATCTCCAGGATTATAATTATATCATGTCATTGCAGATGAAAAAAAAGAAAAGTGTTCTTGATGATGAATCATCATATTTTACAAGTTACCGCAGGAATGATTTAGAACAATACAGACTTGGATATCCAGTAAGTTAAATTTTGTTTTCATGAAAAGAGACACAGTCATATACATAAAATACATGATTATACTGTCTTGAAAATATAAGCAATATTTGGGCAAGGGTAAGAAAACTTGATAGAGGGCAAGGCTAACTGGGCCCTCTTTGAGTGCTCAAACCAAGCCCAAGTATTGTTTATATATCAAGTTCACAGTTATTATGTATTTTGTTTATCCTGCAATATAGTTTTCCATTTCAGCTCTAAAATGAGCTATTTTCAACAAATTGGGCACAGCTCAGCAGTTGAAACTATGATGCCATGGCGTAAACAATGCAATTTAGATGATGTCACAATGCTTTTAGTCATTGAAATGCACGAGGCTATATTAGCTTTGGTTTATTGGAATACCTTTATGCAGTCAATGCAAGGAGTGGTTGTAGTATAAATTACACTATCTGGAACAGCTGCAGATGATTTTTACTTGATGCAGAATTTAATTTTATGGTTTTGTCCAAAAATTATCATACTGCAGATATTGAATATATCGTTATAAATACATCACCAATTTAATATCAAAATAAAAATTTTGTAAACAGAAAAAGGCTCTTGTGCCACAAAATTAAATTCTGCATCAAGTAAAAATACTTGTACCTGCATGTCTTTGAACTTTAAAAAGTTTTGAATTTGGTGTTTGAATCACAAAAACTTAATTTGCTTTATGAAGTCTGCAAGGAAAGTTTTCTCTTTTGTCAACACTGTTTGACTAAACTCTCATAAATCATAATGGTATCTTTTTTCCTAATTAAAAAAAAAAGAAATACTGTACGTTACACTGTAATTACATTACATTGCATGTAATTTGTTTGATTTACTCTACTTTTTTGGGAGGTATACTTGTATATTAATATGTTCAACTTTTCAGGGTAAAAAGGATAACAAGAAATTGCAAGACAACATGAAGTTCTACAAAAATGAAATGAAGTCTTACCCAGATGGTAAAGTATATTGCCTGAAAATGCTACTACGTTTAATATATGGCAGAACTTTTGAAGAGAAGCAAGGCCACTTTCAGTCTGGGGATGAGTGAACATGGCCACAAAATGTACTGTAGAATGACAAGTCAAAATATTTTAACCAACTGAATGACACTGAAAACAGAGGCCTATAAGGGCCGTAATGCTCACAAGAATCAATTTTTTCTTCTTGACAATAAAGAATGTATAATTGAAACCCCTTATTGTGGACCTAAAAGTTAATGCATTTTAATAACTTAAACATAAATGTACAGTATGATTGTATCAATGAAATATGGAGATAACGAATGGCAATCAAGCTCAAAAGTACATTGAAACAATACAAATCTGGAGCAGAGCAAACACGGACCTCTAAAAATCATCAGAGCTGGGATCGGGTGCCATAGAGGAGTAAGCATCCCCTGTCAACCAGTTACACCTGCCGTTTGCTCATTGTCATGATCAGGAAATGGAAAAGTCTGTAGACAATTCAGTGTTTAAATAATGGCTCAACAATTAGTACGAAAAATGTCAATCAGCATTCAACTTAATGATAGATTGTATTTGCTGACAAGGTCATTGTATCAACCATAGAACTTGCGAAATGATGAATTTTCACCTTTTTGAGAGAGGCCAATTCCTCAGTGTTGGCTTTCGCAGGTGAGTTAAGGCTAGGTAAAGAATTTCTATGCAAATAAACTAATTAAAATGCCTAAGGATTATATCTATTATACACAGAAAGTTAAAACTTATTGTCTAATACATACTTGGTACCCACGATATGAGATAGCCAGTACACATTATGACATCATACTATGACGTCTTTGTTCTTTACTACATGAGATTATAGTGGACATCAACAAAAATGGTTTGGCGCAAGGGCATGCTCTATTTTATTTAACTGAAACAAGGTATATTTAGAAGCAAAATATTCCAAAGTTTGTTGGTACTGCTGCACAAATATTAACAGCTCAGTTGAATAATTTCTATTTGTAAAGTTTTAAGTTGAATAAGGGTAAAAATGTACAGTCCGGTATAAGTTTCCTCAAATTCCAAGCAAATGAGAAAATGCCTAGGATTTATGCAGCAGTTTTATTAATCTATAGAATATTCTTCTTAGCATTATACAATTTTTATGTAAAAATAAATAGGGTAATCCCTTGTGCCGAAGCTGTTTTGTTGATGTATTTTATTACCTCCAGTAGGTAAGATCAGTGATGTCATAATATGACGTCATAATGTGTACTTGCTAAGACATATCGTGGGTACTAAATATGTATAAGAAATGAAATCAAAACTTTCTCTGAATAATAAATTTACCTCTTATGCCTTTTTATAAGCTCATTTGCATAGAAACACCTATATCTAGCGGTAACTCACATGCGTTAATCTCGTTAAGTGTTTCTTCTCCATTTCATTTTTTTAATCATATACTTTCTTTAGGCATGTATATCATAGCTGTTTCATTCAAGCTGCAATACCATCTAAATTTCACTAGTCTGCAATATTGACAGGGCTGCAAAATACTGTTATATTGTTGTAAAATGTGTTTGCTTGTTTTGTAGGTGACTTCATAGATAATATTCACAAAAATTGGTGGGGAGATTATGAGAGGCTTGAGAGGCATCATGGTTATGTACAATGGTAATTTATTTAACTTTAAAATGTACCAGCAATAAATGAAATTTATAGACATTCAGACTACATGTATATATATTAAGTTAGCCATGCAGTTTTATGCTTGCATTCTCATTGTATTTACATTCCACATTTCATTTTTCATACAAACTACTAGGTATATACAAATAGACTACTTGTATTTCATGCTAATTTTGTGTGAAATGTGACATGAAGAACTGAAAAATAATCATATAATTTTTATATAGAGCTTTTTTCTCCCAACAGGTTGTTTCCAATTAGAGAAACTGGGATGAATTTCCATGCACAAGAACTACAAATGTTTGAAATTGAGGTTTGTATGAAAGATCAGAGTTTCTGTCAATGATGAAAATATTGACATGCCAAAAATATAGTACTGCACTAATAAAATACAATATGGAATTTATTTTGTGAGGTTATGATTAATATTTACAAGAAATTAGGTGACATAAGTCATGATAGATATTTAATCGCTGCAGAAAATAATGGATGACCCAAAGGCTTTTGCTCGGGTGCTGAAATCATATGAGATGATGTTGGATTTCTATGGAATGAAATTGGATGAAAAGACAGGACAAGTTAGCAGAGCTAAAAACTGGAAAGCAAGATTTAGTCACCTAAATAGGTAAATTTTTTATTTGACTTAGATATAGTTATGTAAAGAAAGTGTATTCTTTATTGATAGGTAAAAGAATAAAAGAGTAAGAAATTATTTTAGAGAATTCTTAGATATGGTATATTTAGATCTACACTCCATATTTGCATTAAACCTTTTCCATATACTTGGAACATACCACCCCGGTATTTTCATCTGGAACATGTATCATTCTGAAAACTTACAAGAGTTACCTTTCTTTCTCCTGCAAACCAAGAACAGCTCAAGGTTATGATGAATGTAAAACATATTTTGAAGCTAGCTTTTAACATTTATGTGTCTAAGTGATGTAAAGAAGACCTGTCTTTCAAATTATAAAGCAGAATTTCCTAAGAAGCTCCTCAGTCTGTATCATCTTAGTATCAATATGTCTCTGTCAGTGTTCTGGTAAAACAGGATTTCTTATTACTTTTAAGTTGTATTATTATCAATACATGTACTGCGAAATTACTAATTTTCATGGGGGTTTATTTTTGTTGTTTTTGAGGTATATAGAGACCCATAAATTCATGGCTTCTACAAAATGTAAAATTTTATACACATTCTATAACAATTCAGCATTTCTTTAACCATGAAATCAAATCTCCCAAGAACCAAATTTGTTTTCCCCTCAACCCACTAAAATTTGACCCCATAAAAATATGTGCATTTCCAGTATTTTGTAACATATCAAAGTCTGTTCTTATATTTATAAGATGGATGTACAGTATATACACACTGTACATATACAGCTGATTTTTCATAAGCTAGTGCTTGGAAAACTCCTACATTCTGACTCATTAGACATGCACCCCTGAACCTGGTGAAAAAGTCATTTCTTTAAGTGAATTTTTCTTCCTCCAGAATTAAATGTATATTCTGAAGTAACTATAGCAAAGACTTAATATATCAAAGGCTGTTAAAATTCAATTACACTGCAAGTTTCAGTCAAAAGACTCAAGTACAGATAGTGTTTTCCCAAAGAACAGGCTAACCACCAAATTGACCATTTCAAATGATAAAAATGTTGCTTTGAAATAAAAGAAATTAAAATTTAATTGTAAGGTCCACAGAGATTTGTCATAAACATCAACCCAAAGCCTGTAACAATTGATCTCTTACCCTTTACTTTGAAATAAAGGTAAAACACTACAGACAGGAACTTCTTGAGGGCTTAATTAGCAACAGTTCCATTTCTTAAGCTATTGCATGTGTGATTATATTGTTAGACTTGTTGTGGATGTTAGGGTCGCACTATTTTAGGAAGAAGTGCATTTATTGTCCCCCGCTTTCATGAAAGCACAGAGGCATTAAATCTCATTTGTCTGTCTGTCAATCAGTCTGTCACAAAAACTTTAACCTTGGCCATAACTTTTGAGATAGGTTTTACGTCATATTTCACATTTGCATTATCTATGACAAGGCATTTCTGAGTATACTATAATTTTTGACCTGATAACCTTGACCTTGAAGTTTGATCTCATTTTCAAAAATTTTAACTTGGACATAGCTTTTGCATGAGAAAGATAGGATTTTCATACATTTCAGATGTGCATCACAGGTGCTTGTTGACAGGACCCCATCCCCACCACCACCACCACCCACCCTGTGATATGCATTACCTATGACAAGACCTTCCAAATGTACTGTGATTTTTGACCTGATGACCTTGACCTTCAAGTGTGATCTACTTTAAAAAAAATTTAACCTTGGCCATAATTTTCACACCAGAATATTATAACATCAAGAAGTATAAAAAGTATAGAACTTGTTTCAGTATGATGGATAGACAACACAGTTACAATATGCTGTAGATCACTGCACTTCAACCAATAACACCTGAAAACTAGGGACCACAATTCTCTGAATTTGCTTGTTAGCTCCATCAATTGAATAGGACAAGGATTTGTCAAAACTCCTGCATAATACCTAGTAACCCTTTGTTATAAATATATTGTTTTACTTTAAAGGGTCAAGCCCGCTTCCAAGAGGCAATAATCAAGAAAAGGCAAAAATAGGGTGGGGTCATTAAAAAATTTTCTTCTCAAGAACCCATGTGTCAGAAAAGGTGAAACTCATGTGGAAGCTTCCTTAGAAAGTGTTGATTCTAAATTGTTCAAATCGTGACCCCAGCGGTAAGGGGATCAAAGTTCTACATTACAATAATATAAAAGAAAAATCTTTAGAAACCTTCTTCTCAAGAACTGAACCACTAGGCCATACAAGGTGAAACTTGTGTGGAAGCATAGATTATAAATTGTTCATATCATAACCCCTGGGGTAGGATGGGGCCACAATAAGGGGTCAAAGTTTAAAATTAATTAAAAATATATAAGAAAAATCTTTAAAAATCTTCTTCTCGAGAGCTACTGGAATAGAAAAGATGAAACGTGAATGTTTCTAGACATAAATATAGATTGTAAATTCTTCAAATCATGGACCCCAAGGTTAGGGTGGGGCCACTATAATAGATCAATTTTTTACATTGAAATTCATAAGAAAAAAATCTTCTTATCAAGAACCATTGGACCAAAAGTGAAACTTATGTGAAGGCTTCCCAAGGTAGTGTAGATTCTTAACTGTTCAACACATGGCCCTGGGGGTAGGGTTGGGCCACAAAAGGGGATAAAAGTTTTGCATGGAACTATCTAAGATTTTTTTTAAAAGTCTTCTTAAGAAACAAAAAAGAACCATCAATTTGCAAACATTCCCATATTATGTGAATTAAGTTATTTTTTTAATTTTGGATCCCAGGTTAGAGTTGGCTATAAACTCTGGATCAAATTTTACATTATGCATGTACAGGAAGAGAACTTTCTTCTCCGTATAACTGCAAGGCCATGTTATCATGTTGATACTGAAGCATCCCCATGGTGTGTGGATTCAGAGACCCCGTAAAATAGGGTGGGCCAATAATATGGGTTCACAATTTTTCAAGGGAATATAAAAATCTGAAGAAGAGCAGCAGGGCTAAAGTAAATAAGTGAGCATTGTGGCCCACGGGCCTCTTGTTCTTGATTCCTTATAAATTTGTAAACAGTGTCATGGGCGAAAAAAAATGAGTCCATGGATTTTCTACCTAATTTAAAATTGACAACACTTGGCCTTTTAAAAAGCAATAAACAGCAAAATCCACATTGCGCATTTTTCACCCCTCAGTCATTTATCAAAGCCGTAATTCATTTTGATGAAATCTGATAAAACGTGGATCAAACAGAGCATTATGTAACCACCATTTAGAAGCATTATGCTGTAAATTGCCATCAAAGACGTCAATAACCCAAACAGGTTTCAGATAGTCATACAGAATAACCTTAGAGAGACCCGAAATTTGACTGGAATTTAAGAAATTTGGCCTACGCAACCAATGTTATACTCATGAGTACAATGTTTCCTCCTAAAGCTTATCTAACCAACTTGCAGGAGAGACCCAATGTCACGTAATACTTCACATAGTTCTCATGATCTACTTGTGTGAAGTTCAATAAACGCAAATCACATAATCAACTTTATCCGTGATACTCTGCTATTTGTCAATCAGTGCTGAGACGCTTAATCTATGTTTTGATGCAAGTTCTGAGCAACCCTACAGAAGCAGTGTAAAAGAGAACCACTTCTCACCTAGTCCCCATAAATAAGGCTACCTGGAGAGTTACAGCCTTTGGAATGTTAAAATCACCCAACAAATTCTTTAAATTAGACCCCAGTTATTTCGTGTGGTGACTATATAGATAGGGAATTTTAGAGAAAAAAAAATAAATGATGTAAAATGAAGGTAAATTCTTTTAAGGAGCAAGATAAGGACACAAATCAGGAAACTAATTTCTTAAATACCAGGGATTTAACTTTGTAACGTTTGGACTGTGGTCCAAATGTATGAGTATGCAAATTAAAACTGGAGATTTACTGATTGGCTATTGCTCTTTGCATTTTTCTTTTTATTAAATTTCTTTTTAAATTTTTTCCCTCTTAGCCAAAATTTTCATTCCTCAAAGCCTCTGTGTAAATCAATAAAAGTACCTAAACATGCATGTAGATGCTAAAAACAAACTAGGGACAGTCTTCACTGCAAACAGCTTTACTGAGTTGCTGATGTACATGTACATTTGTAGTTTAGTTTGTTTATTTTCTGTCTTTGCATTTAAAACTTAGTTTGATGATCCCCTTCTTAGCTCACCCTAGTTGATGAAGGCTCTAATGAGCTTTTCCAATCAAAAAAGTGTTTGATATCCATCTGTTTGTGTGTATTGTTTCATTTGTCGTCTGTCAATAACTTTTCCCACTTTTGACTTCTTCTCCAGAACCATTTGGCCAATTTTAACCAAATTTGGTACAAAGTATTCTTGATTGAAGGGAATTTAATTTGAAAATAGATCAGATGGAGAGCCATACCCTTCTTCAAGGGGAGATAATGAAGAAATAGAGTTAGGTCATTATAAAATCCACAACGACAGAAAAGATAAAATTTGGGTGTAAGTTTCCTTAAAGAGTCTAGATTATATTGTGGCTACTGGTATCTAGGTAAAAATCTCCATTGAACATCTTTTCAGAAATCTCAATAAATCATCTTCTCAAGAGAGCAGGGGTGCAGATTGTCAAGTTATTAAAATGCAACTCATGTAGATCTATCCAAGTTTGTTCGAACCATATGACCTTAGGAACTAAGTTGGGGGCACAAATAGGGGACAAAGCTTTAAACAGAAATATATTGACATTCAGAAGAAAAAGAAGACTACACTTTGTAAAGTCAACATCTAGCCTCAGTATACTACAGTAAAAACTGTTTAATCCGACACCTGTGCAATCCATTTCACTGTGAATTCTGACCATTATTTTTCATGCCTACTTTTAAATAACTATTTTTCATGTTCTCTACACTTGGCAGTCCGACACCTAACTACTGTCTATTCCAACACAAAATTTGTGTCTCATTGCTGTTAGATTAGACAGGTTTCATTGTGTAAATTAAAGTTGTTGAAATCATATTAGAC